AATATCCGCAAATCAATAAACGTGATACATCACATAAACAAACTGAAAGATAAAAATCATATAGTCATATCAATTGATGCAGAAAAAGCATTTGATAAAATCCAACACCCTTTCCTGATAAAAACTCTTAACAAGGTGGGAGTACAAGGATCATACCTCAACATAATAAAAGCTATATATGATAAACCCACAGCCAACATTATACTCAATGGGCAAAAACTAAAACCATTCCCTCTAAGAACAGGAACAAGACAGGGATGCCCACTCTCGCCACTCCTGTTTGACATAGTACTGGAAGTACTAGCCATTGCAATTAGACAAGAGGAGGAAATAAAAGGCATCCAAATTGGAAAAGAAGAAGTAAAGTTATCCTTATTTGCAGATGACATGATACTGTACATAAAAAACCCAAAAGACTCCATTAAAAAACTAATTGACTTAATAAATGAATTTGGCAATGTAGCAGGATACAAAATTAATGCCAAGAAATCCACGGCATTTCTATACACCAACAGCGAAACTATAGAAATAGAGATTAAAAAAGCAATTCCATTTACCATCGCACCAAAAAAATTAAGGTACCTAGGAATAAATTTAACTAAGGAAGTAAAGGACCTATATGCAGAAAACTACATGACACTGAAAAAAGAGATAGAGGAAGATGTAAAGAGATGGAAGAATATACCATGTTCATGGATCGGTAGAATCAACATCATCAAAATGTCCATACTTCCTAAAGCAATCTATAGGTTCAATGCACTCCCCATTAAAATACCAACGGCATATTTCACCGACCTAGAAAGAACTCTCCAAAAGTTCATTTGGAACAATAAAAGACCCCGAATAGCCACAGCAATCCTGAGAAAGAAGGGTAAAGTAGGAGGGATCTCAATACCAGACTTCAAACTGTATTACAAAGCCACTGTTCTCAAAACAGCCTGGTACTGGCACAAAAACAGACATATAGATCAATGGAATAGAATCGAGAACCCAGATATCAACCCAAATCACTATGCTCAATTAATATTTGACAAAGGAGGCACGAATATACAATGGAGTCAAGACAGTTTCTTCAATAAATGGTGTTGGGAAAATTGGGTAGACACATGCAAAAGAATGAAACTAGATCACCAACTTACACCATACACAAAAATAAACTCAAAATGGATACAGGACTTAAACATCAGACGGGAAACCATAAAAATACTAGAAGCATCCGCAGGCAGCAAAATCTCAGACGTATGCCAAAAGAACTTCTTCACTGATACTGCCCCTAGGGCAATGGAAGCTAAAGAGAAAATAAACAAATGGGACTACATCAAAATAAAAAGTTTTTTTACAGCAAAAGAAACCATCAACAAAACAACAAGAAAGCCCACGGTATGGGAGAATATATTTGCAAATAATACCACGGATAAAGGTTTAATCTCCAACATCTACAGACAGCTGATACAACTAAATAAAAGGAAGATGAATGATCCAATTAAAAAATGGGCAATGGACCTAAATAGAATATTTACAAAAGAAGACAGAAAGAAGGCCAAAAGGCACATGAAAACATGCTCAAAGTCACTAATTATCCGAGAGATGCAAATCAAAACAACAATGCGGTACCATCTCACACCTGTCAGAATGGCCAACATCAACAAATCAACAAACGACAAGTGTTGGCGAGGTTGCGGAGAAAAAGGAACCCTCGTGCACTGCTGGTGGGAATGCAGACTGGTGCAACCACTGTGGAGAACAGTGTGGAGTTTCCTCAAAAAACTGAGAATGGAACTCCCATTTGACCCAGTAATCCCACTTCTTGGAATATATCCCAAGAAACTAGACACACCAATCAGAAAGGATATATGCACCCCTATGTTCATAGCAGCACAATCTACAATAGCCAGAATCTGGAAACAGCCGAGGTGCCCGTCAGCTGATGATTGGATCCAAAAACTTTGGTACATCTACACAATGGAATACTATGCTGCCATAAAAAAGAAGGAATTCTCATCATTTGCAGCAACCTGGATGGAATTGGAGAACATCATGCTGAGTGAAATAAGCCAATCAATGAAAGAGAAACACCACATGACCCCACTCATTTGTGGATAATAAAGATCATTATAAACTGATGAACCAAAAGATAGATATAGAGACAGTAAAGCAACAAGCAGATTGTCAAATTACAACGGGGAGGGGAGGAGGGTCTGGGGGAGACAATAAATCAACCCAAGGACTTGTATACCTGCATATAAGTACAACCAATGGACATAAAACTCTGGGGAGGGAGGGGATACATGGGAGGGAAGGAGGGGGGCAAAAAAAAAATCAATAAAATATGTAAAATAAAAAAAAAAATAAATAAAAAAATAAAAATAAATAAATAAATAAATAAAAAAAAATATATAAAAAAAAAAAAAAAAAAAAAAAAACAAATGAAAAGAGACTAGGAAAATATTTAATTTGGCGATATTGGGGGCTACACTCTACTCTGGCCTTGCTATCCCTTTTATTGAGACTATGGGATACACCCATTACCCTTAGGTTTGGGATATACCCATAGCCCTTAGGCATGTAATAGGCGGATTATCATATCATAAGGATTTACATGATTACTTGATGGGTAAGTGGCCTCAGTTACCACTGTCTCCATTAGATAGGGAGCGGGTGGCTCTGACCTTTTGGAGCTTCCGGGTGGACCAGCCTTCTACACCTTCCTGTCAGTGAGACCATGCTGTGTTTCCGGCATCTCCTGTCCGTGAAGATGGCTTCTCTGCATTCTCTCCGGCTTCTCTGATTTCTCAGGGGTGTGTTGTGGTGTGCAGTGAGCACGTTCTGCACTACTTGATAAATTTATTGGGCACTAGTTTGCTTTGTTGATGGTACTCTAAATGGTATTGTCTTTCTAAATTTCAGTTTTCTGTCTGTGGAAATGAATTGGTGTTTGCTATTAACTCTGTATCCCGCGACCTTGCTAAAATCAGTAGCTTTTTTGTAGACTATGGTTTTCTGTGTAGATGATGTCTGCAAATACAGTTCTGCTTCCCTTTCCAATCTGTATGCCTTTTATTTCTTTCTTGTGCCTCACTGCGGGAATTTTGTTTTTATATTGTATAGCAAATATTTCAGCAATTTTAACAACCCCTCCCCACAAGCTCGATCGTCAGATTGCAGAGGGCCTTTTAACTGCGGGTTTATGATTGTAGGTTGAATTTATACTTAGTTTTCATTGAAAATGATTGAGATGAAACTTTTCATACTTCAAACATGATGCATCTTGCCAAAACTGGTTTGGCTCAGTGGATAGAGCGTCAGCCTAGGGACTGAAAGGTCCCGGGTTGGATTCCGGTCAAGGGCATGTACATTGGTTGTGGGCACATCCCCAGTAGGAGGTGTGCAAGAGGCAGCTGATCGATGTTTCTCTCTCATCGATTTTTTTTTAATATGTTTTTATTGATTTTTTTACAGAGAGGAAGGGAGAGGGATAGAGAGCCAGGAACATCGATCAGCTGCCTCCTGCACAACCCCCACCAGGGATGTACCCACAGCCAATGTGCATGCCCTTGACCGGAATCGAACCCGGGACCCCTCAGTCCTCAGACCGATGTGCTATCCACTGAGCCAAACCGGTTTCAGCAACTCTCATCGATGTTTCTAATGCTCTATCCCTCTCTCTTCCTCTCTGCAAAAAAACAATAAAAATATATATTTTTTAAATGATGCATCTTATAATTTTTTTACAGAATTTTAGAAGTATGTAATTTAGGTATCATTTTTACTGATAGCACATGTTTTGAAATGATATAGTTATTTTTATGATAATGAAAGTTTTCATTTTCATTTAGGAAATATTGAACCAGTGACCTTAGCTATTCAGTTATGATGAAAGGCCTAATCTAACCTTTTATTGAATGTGATATTTATTAAACATGAAACTTCTCATTTCTAGAACTTAATCAATAGGACATTAAGCCATTTATTACTGCGATTAAAGAAGGCCTGCAGACTAGATATTCTACTTCCTTGTCACCCAGTTTAACTTTTTCTTTAATTGAATTTATTGGGGTGACATTAGTTAATAAAATTATAGTATAGGTTTCAGGTGTAAAATTCTATAATATATCATCTCTGTGTTGTGTTGTGTTGTGTTGTGTGTTCACTCCCCCCCCAAGTCTCCTTCCATCACTTAGTCTCCTATCTAGTTCAGCTTTAACAATCAGGGCAAAACACTGAAGGGTCCCGGGTTCAGTTCCCGGTCAAGGGCATGGCCCTGGGTTGCAGGTTCATTCCCAGCTCTGTCAGGGCTTGTGCGGGAGGCAGCTAGTCAGTATGTCTCTTTCACATCAATGTTTCTCTTTCCCTTCCTCCTTCCGCTCCTTCCTGGTTAAAACACTGTCCTCTTTGTCACCTGTGCTCTCAGTATGGCCCATTTCCCCCTCCAACTGGCTGCTTAGGAGACTGAGAGCTGCATTGGCGGGGGCTTTTGTTTAGCTCCAGGAGAGAGGAATTTTATCTGCTTCACCTGGCGCCTTTCAGAGTTAGGGACTGAGGGGTTGACTTAAATGTGTGAGTTGGTTTTACACTTTTACTCATTTGTCTTTGACCTTCACGGGTGAAATCCATTGCTGTTTTTTTGACAGAACACTGACGGAGTGTGTGGCATTTCTGGCTCGCGGCATGTAGTTTCCTTCCTTCTGATCAGATGCCCTGTGGGGCACCTTGCGGGGCATTGCTTCCCATAGCTTGGCAAAGAGTACGCGGCACCCTCCACGCGTTTACTTTCAGCTCAGACACCCAGTGCCGGGAGGAGACGAGCCCCAGCGGCAGCGGTGCTGTTATTGTGTATAACCGACCGCTTCGTTAGCGGGAGGAAGGCCCTCGGGGAATAAAGCACACTCTCTGCGCCCCGTGCGGCGGGCAGGCGGGTGGGCGAGGGGCTGCAGGTGCCCACGGGCGGCCGTGGGCCCTGGTGGGGGTGCTGTGGGTGCTCTGACCGGCCCCTCTCCTAGGCCGCCTCGGAAGAGCTGAAAGCTGCCTACCGCAGGCTGTGCATGCTGTACCACCCCGACAAGCACCGGGACCCCGAGCTCAAGTGCCAGGCGGAGCGGCTGTTCAACCTCGTGCACCAGGCGTATGAAGGTCAGTGCGGGCAGGCGGTCCATCTTCAGAGGCTTGGTTTGTAGCGGACAGCAGAGTCCTTGGAGGGTGGAGAAGGGGTGTAGCCTGGGCTTCCTCCTGACAGGCTCTTTGGAAGAGAAGGGTTCTCTTTGGGGGAAGCCGCTGGGCGGGAGGGAGGTGCAGGGAAACTCAGTTTTCACGTCCTCCACTGGCCAGTCCTCCAGAAGGGAGCTCAGGGATGAGAGGCCGGTCGTTAAGACAAGCTCTCTGCTGTCTTTTTGAGCGGCGTACGCACGAGAGCATTTTTCATCTGAAAGTGGATTTATTGACTCCGTAGCATTCAGTTAAGGAGAGGTTCTAACAGAAGGAAAAAAAACGATATTAAACTAAGTAATTCAGACTTCTATACTTACACCTTATGGATTTCAGAAAGAACGTTTGTGACATGCTTGTTTATAAAATATTAAAGTCATTAACAGCTACAGTTTCTGTTTGCGATGATGAAATGTGATATTTGCACAACAAAGTGAATGTACTTCATGCCCCTGGCCTGTGCACTTAAAAATTATTAAAAGGATCAACTTTATGTTACGTATATTTTACCAAAATTTTAAAGATACAAATTTGTAAGATGTTAAATCACTTTTAGGATGTATATCAAGTAGAATAAGTTGTTTATTCCAGAGCCATTTTGGTGATTTGCTCTTTAATTAGACTAAAAATTAGATGATATGTTCCTTACAAAATAAAGGCTTCTTCTTATAGTTTTATCAAAAAGTTAGGTTTTAATGACAGCCCGGGGCCAGGGCTGATGATACATGTGTGTCGGCATCGTGTCTTTACCGGATTCGCTCTAACCAGGCCACTCTGTGGGGCCTGGCCACAGGCCTGGGCCTTCTGTGGCAGCGGTCGCCAACCGATGGTCCGAGGACCGCTGGTGTCCGTGAGCTCAAAGGCAGGCGCCTGCTGTCCTGCAGGATGCTGTGGTCCGCGTGGCTGCTCTCGTTTCCCTGTTGTCTGTCACCCGCATAACCGGGCGTTGTCTGGCGGTTTGGGGAGAGTGAGGAAGGCCTTCCTGTGGGGGTGAAATGCTGCCACAGCCCTGCCCGCACCCAGCCCCGAGGGGGCCACGCAGAACACTGGCCGGAGAGCCCTCGTTAGGTCCCGGATTAACTCCAGGGCTGCGCCGTCTCCCAGAGGCCAGCACTTCCTCTGCCCCTCGGACTTGAACCTGGACAGGGTCGTGTCCATCGTTTTTAAATTAGGCCTAAAACACATGGGCGTCTCCAGGGAGCAAAGATTCAGTCTCCACAGGAGTTGGCGGAGCAGAGCAGGAGCTGATGGCTGAGCTTCGGCTCCCATCCGGGTGAATCTCCTTTCGGAGCTCTCGGCCTCCCTGGAAGGCAGCAGCGGATGTGGCCACGTCAGAGGGGCTTATCGAAAAAGAGGAGAGGGGGAGGAAGGACAGAAGGACCAAGTCAGACTTGTCCGGGGTCAGAACCTTGCCCTGACCTTAGCCCGCCTCCTCAGAAAGGGCAGTCAGCTCCTTCAGGCTGCACGCACGGACCTAGCGGTTCCTTAAGCACCGCCGTCCTCGGTGACGCAGGTGCACCTCTCAGTTCGCAGTGGCTCACTCGTGGCCACCTTGAAACACGGCCTGGTTAGGAAGAAAATAAGTAAGCAAACACAGTCAGGGTTGGATCTGAGGGCAATGAGGAGAAGGACGCACAGGGAGGGAGAGCGTCTGTCTAGGAAGAGTGGGAGCCGCCGGGGGGATGCTGTCAGGACCAGGATGCTGCTGTCAGGACCGGAAGGCGAGTTCTGTGCTTTGTCAACATGTCCGGCTTCTGTCCGCAGTGCTTAGCGACCCGCAGACCCGGGCCATCTATGACATCTATGGCAAGAGAGGACTGGAGATGGAAGGCTGGGAGGTAAGAGCGAGCCTGTCTGAGCCCCAGAAAGGCCAGGACCCCTGCAAACTCCACCCACGCCCCACCCTGGGAGGGAGGACTCCGCAGCCATTCCCCAGGCGCCCAGGCCAGCAGCTCTGCCCAGGGCCTGTTCTGTGTCTCCCACTGATGCATGGAATGTGCTGGCTGCCTTTCCCCCCTCTCGTCCGTCTGATGGCTCACTCCTGTCTGCTCTGCTCTCTCAGTGTATCTCACAGGCCGTACGCAGCATCTGGGCCCTTAGCACGTGGTGCGCTTCCTCTCACCATGTGACCCTGAGGTCCCGGGCCTGCCCCTGCCCTCAGCCAGACCGTCTCCTGTCAGGAGAGGAGCAGCCGGGGGAGCGCTGCTTTTCTGTCAGCCTCCTCAGCGTGTGCACCCCTGGGAGTGTGCTAACGTGGTCTGCTCTTCATGGCCTAAGCGTTGTTACACTAATGTTCCCTGATGTCACAGCGTGAGGTTCGCGTCATCCTGGAGGGGGAGCGTCCCATAGCTCATAAACACCCACCCACCCACCCCTGGGCGTGAGGTCCCTCCATCTGAGAAGCGCGGGGCACCTGGTGACAGCCCCGCGCACGGGAGCGGCGGCAGTGCCACATGGACACTTTGCCTTCGTCTGGATGTTTTGTTTTGTTTTTGTTCTTATTGTTAATATATTTTATTGATTTTTTTTACAGAGAGAAAGAAAGAAGGATAGAGAGTTAGAAACATTGATGAGAGTGAAACATCGATCAGCTGCCTCCCGCACACCCCCTACTAGCAATGTGCCCGCAACCAAGGTACAGCCTAGACCGGAATCGAACCTGGGACCTTTCAGTCCACAGGCCACTGAGCCAAACCGGTTTTGGCTCGTCTGGATGTTTAACATTGTTACCTGGAACTCATTAGGGAATTTAACTGAGACGTGAGGTGGTGTTTTCTTTATAAGTTTCCTGCAGCCTCAGAGCCAAGTTACTAAAAGGATGGTCCGTGACCTTGGTCATTATGAGGGCGCAGAGCTGCGAGGCTGTGCAGGTGAACCTGGCCACCTGCTGTAAAACACTCACCCGTTTCGTTGACGTCGCTCGAAGCCCTGGCCAAGGGGTGCGCAGCCGGTTAACGATCTGAGCTCCGGCTGTGTCCTTGCCTCCGGGTCCCTAACGCTCTCCCCTCGGTCCGGTCCGCCCTAGGTTGTGGAGAGGAGGAGGACTCCTGCCGAAATCAGAGAAGAGTTTGAGCGGCTGCAGAGAGAGCGGGAGGAGAGGAGGCTGCAGCAGCGAACCAACCCCAAGGTGAGCGCCCCCCCAGGTCAGCAGCGTCAGAGCTGCTGGTGTGACAGCAGGGCCATGCGGAGCCGCCTTCGGGGAGGGCGGGAGGCTCCCCGGCAGAAGCGCAGCTCGCTCTGCGACGTCTGTCTGGTTGTCTCGAGTCTGTGGCGTGGGAATCGGGAGAGGTCGGAGCCGGGAAAGGAAGCGGAAGCACCTGGCAGCAGGTTCCTGAACCAGTCAGGGTGCAGAGCGGGCGATGCGGAGGGGCCGGGCCGTCCCGGTGCATCGAACAGGCGCGTGCTCCTCACCCCAGGAAGCGGGGCCGGCGCCCGTCCAGGCCGCTCTTCAGTGACGAGGCCCCCTCTAACTGCAGCGGGTCCCTGGCGGGTTTGTGTCATGTGATCAGCGACTCCTGAATCAGGGTTCATTTCAGGCCGCACATACAGGCTTTTCCGTAGGTTTGTGGGGAAGCAGTGGTTCTGAGTGCGTGCCCCAGCCTGTGGCTCGTGGCTGGGTGCATGTGGGCCGGTGACCCTGTTCCTGGCTTCGCCGGGGGACCCTGCAGCCGGGCTCCGTCAGTGTGGCGGGGGGGGGAGGGGGGACCTGGCGGGCAGCCTGAACATCTGGAGGAGGACAGGAGCAGCCTTACAACTGGGGAGCACGAGGATGGAACTTTCTAGAAGGCAAAGGCCCCGGCATCTAAAGGACTGGAGGGTTAGAAACCTGTCTATTTGAATCCCGCCTTTCCGAGTGCAGAGCACATGCCAGCACCTCCCTCCCACCCCCATCCTCATGCCAACGCCCCTCCCCCCCCTCCCCCAGCTGTGGCCGCTGCAGCGCACCAGTGGCTCTGGTCCCATGGAGTCGCTGCTGCACCCGCCTCGGTCTCCCACTGGTGCTGGCGGTCTGGGTGGAAGGTCAGCATGGGCAGATGGAGGGGAGGGGGGGAGCCTGGCGGGGCGGGCTGTGGCTCTGGAGTCTGCTGTTCTGGCAGCGTTTGGAGCGGTTCAGGAGAGAGACCGTCCCCGTGGCCTGGCCTGGCCTGTGATGAAACCGGCCATGTGGGTGTGCACAGGGCGGCCGCTGGGAGCTGTGGAAACGGGCCTCCGGCCGTGTTCTGTGGAATGAGGGGCATCGAACCTTGCACACGCAGGCCAGCTGCTGGAGCCCCAGCACTTGTCCTGCCTAAGCTGCTTCCAGTACCCAGGATGCTGTGACCAGCAGTGCTGAGCGGGGCCAGACGCAGGCTCCAGTGTTGTGGGGAGGGTTTCAAACTGGACCTTTGGCCCCATTTCTGAGTGTTTTGCTTTTCAAGATGAGTGGAAAGGTTAAGAACGTTCTTATCCTCAGAGGAAGGGTGCTCTCCTGTAAGAAGACCACGGGGAGGAGGCCCTTCAGCTCAGCACTGCCTGCCCCTCCCACCCGGAGGATCGCAGCTCGTGGGCATGGGCAGATGAGACAGCATCCGAGAGCTGCCATCTGAAACCGGACGCTGTTTCTCTCCGTTGTCATCAACAAGAGGCCGCTGGCAGGGGTTCTTGGTGGGATGTGTGTGCCAGGAACGGGGAAATCATAGGTCGGGAGTTTGGATCTGAAAGTGATGTGGGACCAGGCAGAGCATCTGACTGTGTGTGCTTTCCTCACTCACAAAGGAGGCTATGTGTCCTGGCTAGCACACCCGGCTGTTCAGTGGTTGAGAAAAGAGGAAGCAGATACTGAATTATTAGAGCGAGGCCAGCTGCCAATAAATGCAGAGGTGCTAGGCCCTGGCGAGGCTAGGGGCTGGGTTTTGTTTCGGTGGTCCGTGCAGCACTGCAGGGGAAGCCCCTGGCAGCTGGTCAGGCGGCCCCTGGCCTGGGCTGTGGCTGTGGCTGTGGCTGTGGTCGTGGATAGCACTCTGGGACTGGAACGAGGGGAACCCCCGCTCCAGCGTGGAGCGCACACACCTATGCGGAAGGCAGTGAGGCAGAGCTGGATGGGGGTCAGATCTGCCTCCAGCCTTCGCTCAGTTTCTCATGTAAAAGGGGGAATAACTTCCTCTGTTTCCGGCTGGGGAGGAGTTCGGGGTCTCCTGGGCCGTCCTCACTGGTGGGGGCACCCGCCACCTCCCTTCGTCTCAGGTCTGTCTGTGGGCGCACTCCGTCCCTCCCTGCCTGTAGGAGACTCAGCATGCAGTGCTGCTCAGGGCCGTGCTCATCTGTCTTGATTATTTCATCCTTTCTGGCAGCACCCGCAGTCGGTCTCCGGGGACAGCGGCCTCGGTGAGGGTCTGTGAAGACAGACCTCAGGAGCCCTGCGGGGCGGGGCTGCCTTCCCGGTGAACAGCCGGAGCCCGGTGACGCCGAGCTTGGGGAGGCCTCTAGGGAGCTTGATGTCTGTCTGAGGGGAGAGCTGCTTTCTGGGTTGACCCTGTCACGTAGTTTCCTGGAGATTGTCAGGGTTTCTTGGACCCTATTATCCGCTCTGGTTTCAAAAGGCCGTCTTCTCAGTGGTCTTGTAACAGCTTACAAACAGTTCGGCTCTAGCAGAGACAAAATTAAATCATGCATCAAGGAAGACATAGAACCATAAAGACACTTTTAAGTCCCCAACTGTTTCATAAAGACAGATGAGCACATCGCTCCGTTATTTGGAAAGGACTTGGTGAAGATTGGTTTTGATTGCCGTGGCTAACGGTTATCGCCATCGGAATGGCCCGCAGTTAAGGCTGCCGGCCGCTCTGGGGAAGCTCCCGGTGTCATACCGGCCGGCTGGCCTGCCGCGGGGTCATCCGGGGGAAAAGCAGCCGGACCCCTCTGCTCGCTGTGCGCCATGCGGAGGCCATTTGCTGCATCAGCGCTGGGCTGCAACGGAAGAAGGTGGGAAGCTGTCACACCAATGGGCAGAGCGGGCAAGTGCTGGGACGTGGGCAGAGCCTCTGCCCAGAGCCGGGCGCTGGGGAAGGCGCCGAGAGCTGCCCCGCCCTCCTGTGAGCATTGGCACTGGTGACAAGGTGTCCGCATCAGGTCTGCTGCTCAGGCAGAGGGGCACGTGGGGCCACTGGAGGGTGAGGCTGGGACCCCGTGGTTCTGAGAAACCTGTGAGGTTTGCGTTTGGGCCTCCGTGACATTGGGGGACCGGGTTCTGCTGGATCTGAGTGAGTCTCAGCCGGTGTCACGTTCATCTGCAGTAACAAAGGGAGCGAGCGTCAAAAGTGCCTGGAGCGGATTGCCTCCCCGGGAGGCATTTCCGTCAGGAAAGTGCTACCCTTGAGACTGCATTGACAGAGACTCCTCACAGCACGCAAGCATGGAAACGGTTCGGAATAAGCTCCTGGCGGGAGAAGAACTGGCTGACTCAGTGAGGCTGACTCGACGGCATCTCCAGCCGCTCAGGCCTTGTCCAGGGAGAAGGGCTGCTCCCAGGCTGGCAGCCCAGGACACGGGGGTGTTCCATGTGGGCCAGCTCCCCCTGGGCCCGGCCCCAAGGCCCCGAGAAGTGTGTCTTCACCTCCACTGACTTCTCTTGGGCAAAAGCAAGCCCCGGCCAGTGCAGAGCAGGGAGAGGGCCCTGCCCACGGGCCCCAGGGAACCCCGGCAAGGCCGCTGCGGCTCCAGGGTCACTGAGAGCCTTTCCCTTCCGTGACATGGCCTGCCAGCTCCATAAAAGTGGCGTCTACATTTAAATGTGACGTTTCTGACATTTAATTGACTCTTCTCTGCACATCATAGCATTAATTGAGAAAATAGTGTCTGATTTCTAAATTTCCCCATTCAGAGCTTATAAATGTCTTGGCCCACGTACTTTCTCGGGCTTTGTCTTTTTGCCTCCACTCGGAGTAATTTTTCCTGACAGATCTCTTATAAATCATCTGTGGGCTTCTGATGCCTCATCGAATTTAGATGCCACAAAGCTGGAGGCTTTTCAGTTTTGTTCCATTCCAAGACAGAATATAAGTGTAACTAATTGTAAATGACAGCCCCTCCGAAAGGTCCTCCTGCAAGTTAAACTCTTCCCTGAGGCCATTGGGGTTCACAGCGGCACCAGCTGTGGGAGCTCTGGCCATTGGTCTGAGTTTTCCCTCAAGAGAAGAACTTCAGGGTATTCTCAGTGACGGGCCTTATGTTCAGGGATTGCAGTTTCTTTTCTTTTTAAAATATATTTTTATTGATTTTTAAAGAGAATGGGAGAGCGGAGAGATAGAAACATCTCTCCTCTCAATGATGAGAGTTGGATGGAGCCCACAACCTCAGCATGTGTCCTTGACTGGAATCAAACCTGGGCCCTTCAGCCCACAGGCCGGCGCTCTATCCACTGAGCAAACCAGCTAGAGCAGTGGTTGCAGTCCCTTACGTGTTTTTAAAGCTGCGGGCTTATGGTGGTTGGTTTGAAAGGGCCTCTGCACGGACTCAGACATGCCTACTGCAGCCGGTAGCGCCAGACTGGCGTCTGTGTCCAGAAGCAGCCTCACCGAGGTGACTGTCACTCCGCCCGGGAAAAGTACGTGTCACTGAATACGCAGACACGCTCGTGCCGTTTGGCACTGGCAGCTGTTTTCCGGAGGTGGGCTCTCAGCCGGTTCTGGCACAGGCAGGCACTATCACCTGTGGCTAATTCCCACAGTGTTCTTGCTTTGGTAAAAACATTTTACCGTGATGGTGTACCTCCCAAAGCTGGTATTTGAGTCCGACCACAAAAACAGGTCTATAGCTGAAACCAGTTTGGCTCTGTGGATAGAGCATCAGCCTGTAGACTGAAAGGTCCCGGGTTCAATTCCGCTCAAGGGCATGCACCTTGGTTGTGAGCACATCCCCCTTGATTTTCAGAGACCAAACTGGGGTGGGGGGGGGGGCAGCTGATTGATGATTCTCTCTCATTGATGTTTCTAACTCTATCCCTCTTCCTCTCTGTAAAAAAAATCAATAAAATATATATTTTTTTAAAAACACAGGTCTACATTCAGTGACCGAGTTTATAGGAGCAGGTCCCCTCGGTAGGTCCAGTGATCATGAAGGGTGGTAACTCGGCTGGTTTCTGTTTGAAGCATCTAATGGCACTCAGGCATCACGTGCGGCCGCCGTGGGGTCTCTGCTAGAACCACACAGGAAGAGCAGCGGCACCCTGCCAGTTTGGCTCAGTGGGCAGAACATCAGCCTATGGACCGATGGGCCCCAGGTTTGATTCTGGTCAAGGGCTCATGCTGGGTTGCGGCCTCGGTCCACCATGCAGGAGGCACCCAATCAATGATTTCCTCTCTCATTGATGTTTCTCTCCTCTCCCTCTCTGAAATCAATAAAAAGATATTTTTTAAAAAGAATGGTGGCTTCATCTTTCATTCCTGTGTCAGACTTTAAGGGGGAAGTGAGTACAGGTCACGGAGGAACGACCACAGGCTCGCCCTCAGGTGGCTGCCCAGTGCCAGGGAGCACTCCGTGTTCTCACAGAGCAGCTGGCAGGGAGGGGGCTGCCGGGGCGAGCCCACGCGGGTCCGTGTGTGCCGCTAGCACTGGTGGGCAGCGCTGGAAACAGTCAGCTTACCCAATTTCAGGAACTTCCCAGGAAGATGGAAATTTAGTGCTTTTTTTTAATTCTCACCTGAGGACATGCTTATTAATTTTTAGAGAGAGACAGGAAAACATCAATCAGTTGCCTTCCCATATACACGGGGATCAAACCCGAAACCTAGGTCTGTGCCCTGACTGGGGATTCAGCCTGCACCCTTTTTTGGTGTACAGGCTGCTGCTCCAACCAACTGCGCCATGCCAGCAAGGCAGTGTTTTTTTTTAAACCTGCAGTATGGCCCCAGCTGGTGTGGCTCAATGGGTAGAGTGTTGGCCCGAGGACTGAAAGGCCCTGGGTTTGGTTCCAGTCAAGGGCCCGTGCCTCAGTTGCAGGCTCCATCCCTGGCCCTGGTCGGATGGCTCATTTGGTTGGACCATCATCTGTACACCAGAAGGTGGCCAGGTACATTCCTGGTTGGGCCTCTTACCTGTTGGTGTTTCTGCCATCCATGTTTCTCACCTCTTTTTTTTCCCTTCCTCTCTCTCTCTAAAACACACACACACCATCGTGTGAGGATAATAATAAAAAGATAGGCCCATTTGAAAAGTCTTATGACAAAAAAATAAACATTGATTTTCTGAGTAAGGAGCATTTTTTTTATCAGTCAGCAAAATTTTAACTTAGTACTTTTTGAGAATATGGTGGTGTGTTTCTCAAACTTAATTCTCAAATTAATGTTCCCAGGCGGAACAGTTTTTTCATTTGTTCAAATTTTATTTTGTTTGCACTTCTTTACCTTGGAAGGCATTTTTATGTTTTTAAGTAGTTTTGTGATGTGAGAATATTTACAAGAAAACCTTTGATCCGTGTAGCTAGTTTCTGGTTGTTTTATTAAATCTGGAGATGATCTCTTTAGAGCCATGAAGTGGGTCCTTTTTGGTCTCTGAAAATCAAATTGTGAGATTTTTTTATTGATTGACTGATTTCAGATAGAAACATGGATTTTTTTTTTTGTTCCACTTACGTATGCATTTATTGGTTGATTCTTTTTTTTTTCTTTATTGATTAAGGTATTACCGTACATATGTGTCCTCCTCCCCCCCTCGCCCCCGACCCCCATCCTTGGTTGATTCGTGTCTGTGTCCTGACCGGGGATCGAACCCGCCGTCACTTTGTGTAGATCTTATTTCTTTCCCAACACTTGTCTTTGGCTCCCTTCAACTCAGGCGACAGGTGTCCCGACTTGAAGTCGGTGGAGCTTTGCCGCTTCTTGCCCTGAGCCTGACGTCCATGCTCCGTGTTCTGTGGGCCTGCCCCCAGGACCGGCCACTGCGGAAGGTAGTGCATTGTCTCCTTCCCCGGCGCCTGCCCTGTGCTGACGGCTCGCTTCTCTGCCCAGGGGACCATCAGCGTGGGCATCGATGCCACCGACCTCTTCGATCGCTACGAGGAGGAGTACGAGGACGTGTCCAGCGGTGGCTTTCCGCAGATTGAAATCAACAAGATGCACATATCCCAGTCCATCGAGGTACAGACGCCCCGAGCGCAGGGGCTGGGAAACGGGGGAGTCTTCCGGGGTTTCCTCCTTTTTATGTCTGAAAGGATGCAGCGAGCCCCTGAGAGAGCTGTAGTGCAGCCTGTTTGTGATGCAGCCGCCGGGCCGGGCAGGGGCTTAGCTTCCTGAGGCTCAGTCAGGGCGTCAGTCAGGAAGTGCAAATGGCCTGGGAGCCTAGGTCGTAGTTCCAGGGGAGAGAGCAGACCTCGTGGGCAGGCAAGGACCAGTCCACACTCTCCTGGCTGAGAACACTATTCAGCTGAGCCTGGATGTGGCAGTGCCAGGCCATTCTCCTGAGGGTACGGTGGCCTCTGCCTCTCACCTCACTTGTTCTCAAGCCCATCAGCCAGAGCCTGCAGTCCTGGCTCAGTCGGCTGGCCCCCCACGGGAAGGCACAGAGCAGGCTGGTGCCGTGGGCACACTGAAGGCCAGCACTCAGTTTGCTATTTCCCTGGCATTTTGACATTTGCCCATTCGAGCTTTTACAGACCGTGACCTTGGCGGCCACCTGCAGTTCAGATGGCCAAGAGGGAGAAGTGAAGCCATTGAGGTGCTTCTGCCTCCCAGCGCCCCTGACGGTGGAGTCGCCTGCACTTGGCCTGTCAGTCTAGTCCCTGGGCTGCTGCCCCGGCACTTCCTGTCACCGGGACTCACCTGGTACCCGCACCTGCCATTCCCCAGGCGCCCCTGACAGCGACGGACACAGCCATCCTCTCCGGAAGCCTCTCGACCCAGAACGGGAACGGAGGCGGGTCCATCAACTTCGCGCTCAGGCGGGTCACCTCCGCGAAGGGCTGGGGAGAGGTGAGCACGGCAGGGCGGCTGTGGACACTCCCTGAGAGCGGCCCGCGGGGCCTGGGCTGGCCTCCCCGCACAGGGCACCAGGAGTCAGACTTCAGGGAACTCCCCAGGAGAGACACGTCCCCGTCTGAGGGAACCCCGACGCCGAACAGCTCAGGCCGCACAGAGCTTTCCCAGACGCCGCTTCCAGGAAGCGAGCCTCTGGAGCTCGGGCTTTGTCTCCTTTAAGCGGAACTGGAGCTGGTTTGTTGTCCTCTCAGCCAGCAGGCAGTGCCTCTGTCCCGGTGCCCGGTCCGCTGGTTGGCAGTCATTTAACAGAAAACTGAACAGCATCAAATTAGCATTGAAGAGTTGCCTTGAAAGTCACCCAGACTAATACATGAGCAGCCAGGCCTGGCGGCTCCCCGCTGTGAGTCAGACCGCTCACGGTTTAACGTCAGGCCTCGGAGAGCCATCGCCAGTCCCCTCGGAGAGCCATCGCCAGTCCCCCGAGACCTGCGGGCAGCGAGGCTGAGCGGAATGGCAGTGCAGGTGGCCCTGCGAGGGCCAGGGCCCACCTGACCGCACAGCAGGCGCCAAGCTCCCTGAGCTGGGGGGGAGGGGGGCTCCTTTCGGAAACACGCCTCATGAGTCTGCAGCCCCTTTCTCGGGAGCCCCGCCCAGGCCAGGACCTGGCATCGGGGGAGGGATCCCAGCGGGGCCGGCCTGGAGCCTGGGCTGCTGCCGGAGGAACCCCGTTAACGCTTCTCTCCTCCTTCCTGAACAGTTAGAGTTCGGAGCAGGGGATCTGCAGGGCCCGCTCTTTGGTGTAAAGCTGTTCCGTAACCTCACGCCAAGATGGTAAGTATACAGAGATCAACCCTCTTTGTGGCTTGGAGAACAGGCTGTGTGTCTCTTTGTCAAGGTCATCCGGATTGGCCGGCTGCCCTGCAGGTCACTGGGCAGGCGCGGAGGCTGTGCGGAGGCTGTGAGAGCGGGTGCACAGAGCCCGGTGGCCTGCTCTGCCCGGTGGTCTGCAGTGTCTGTGGGGCTGTGAGGACCCCGAGACTGGGGGAGGCGCCTTCGTGGGGACATTGGTTAGCGTCTGGCACTTCCATGAGCTCGGGCACCATCTCTCTGTCCCCGAGAATGAGGGTAAGCTCTGAAAGGGGCCTCTGAGCAGTGGAGCTCGGGAGACCCCGTCTGTGGAGCGGAGGTGCCAGAGCTTTGAGGCCTGGGGCCCTAGTGTCACACTCATAAACCCTCCCTGTTCCTCTGGAACAGCATGGGGTACTGTTCATACTCGGGGTGCTGTGAGCTCAGATGAGGATGGAGGGGAAGATAAACTAGTGTTTTCCTGGGCAGTGGCATGTAGTCCCAGGAGGCCTGGGGTGGGAGCCTGCTCCAATGGGGGGGGGGGGGGGGTGGCCACACTGCAGGGAAGACCGGCCCTGCCCTGTGGTCCGTAGTAAAAGCAGCTCCGAGGGTCCATCCAACCCAGAGGACGCGGGGGGGGGGGGGGGAATAGAGGGTGCCCCCTGGGCAGAGGACGTAGGGAGGGGCTCCAGGCTCCCGTAGCCTGTCGGTAGAATCCGGCTTCCCACCTCTGCTCTAGGACTGGGACCAGGGTCTGGGGAGGGACAGGATTCATACTTTTTTTCTTTTTTTTTTTTAATATATTTTATTGATTTTATACAGAGAGGAAGGGAGAGAGATAGAGAGCTAGAAATGTCGATGAGAGAGAGACATCGACCAGCTGCCTCTTGCACACCCCCTACTGGGGATATGCCCGCAACCAAGGTACATGCCCTTGACCGGAATCGAACCCGGGACCCCTCAGTCCCCAAGCCGACGCTCTATCCATTGAGCCAAACCGGTCCCGGCAGGATTCATACTTTTAACCAGAGCATCCCGTGAGCACTGCTATGCGTGTGGGCGTGGCCCTGGCTTTGTCTGCCTGGGGGTGTCACCTCTGCTCGGCCCCTAATCTGAGCAAGCAGAGCAGGGCACTCTGAAGATGGGACACGTGAGGAGACACGAAGACAATCCATGGGCCACGTCGTCCAGTTGAGCCTCGAAGTGTGCTCAGAGTGGTCCCGGGCCTAGGGCCGGCTCGCCCTCAGCTTCGCTGGTGCGCAGGTTCCATCAGAGCCCCCGGGCAGCAGGCCTGCCTGGAGGGCATAACAAGGACACTGGTCCTCAGTGTGCCGTGTCAGCTCTGAGCGCCCTGTGAGTCCAGATCAGTGACGAGAAGTTTATTGTGTGGAGTTGGCCCTAGGAAGGCAGCACTGTCTGCGGAAGGTTCTCAGTATCCGTGCAGGGACAGTCCACCCCCCCACCCCCCCCAGGCCTGTCTCTCTAGGACATGCTGGGTGAAAATCAAGACACTTTCTGTACTTCGGTTCTTTTAAATGTCACTGTCACTCTCTTGAAGTCCAGGGGTGACCTCTCTCTTTCCCTGCTTACTCCCATTGTGACTAAAGCAGAAGCCGTAGCCTTTGGGTGTGACATGAGGGTGAGCTAAGTGCAAGGGGAGGGGAGGAGGGGAGGTTGGGCCTGAGGAGGGCAGGCTCATTCACTTGGCTGTGGAAGCCATTTGAAGTCTGAGAGGAGCGGATGTGATCAGAGTTACCAACTTTGTCATTTTAATGGGAAAAGGGATGCCTCTGAGCTTGGGAAGAAGAGAGAAACCAAATTTAGGCAATCTGGTGCCTGGGCTGCGGGGCACCCTATTTGCTCACCTCTGAACACCTTGAGTCAAAGGGTGTGAATTCCTTTGCTTCCGAACTGAAGTACCCCTTCTCACCAGAAGGTGGCGGTGGCTCCCTGGAAACTACAGTAGCTGCAGAGGCCTTTCTGGAATGGCTGGCCTTGCGGGTGCTGGGCTGTGCGGTGCTGGCGTGAGGTCGCAGCCGCACACACTTTCCTTGTAGCTAATGAGATGCCAGGAGTGGACTCCGCTTGTGTCGGCCAGCCTGTGGGAAGGCTGGTTTCCTTACCCGTCGTGTGGCTTATCAGCCACAGGGCCTATTGGGGACACTGGGGGAGGGCTGTGGCGCCACTCCCCACTAGCTTCAGTCTGTGGGTGGCCATCCATCCGGTGGGCAGGCTTGTCGTGCCTGGGCCCCCGGACATTCGGGCTGAATTGGTCTGGGTGGACTCTGGGCAGTGGTTCTCAAACTGCTGCCGTTAGTCACCTGCAGCTTTTAACGCTCCAACCGGAGCCCCGGCAGGAGCCCACCCGTGCGTCCTCTAGACTCGAGGTGAGGCCAGAGTGCGGCTCCCCGGGCAGTTCTGACTTGCAGCGGCCTGGCTGCCTGGCTGGGAGCAGGCGGCTGAAGTGGGGGTGAGTGGGATGGGGGTGCAGATCAGGTGACAGCGGGAAGATTTCCACTGAGTCGCCCTCTGACTCCCTCTTATGATAGAGGCTCGGTCTCCTGCTCTCCGTGCTGGGGAAGCCCAGGGTAATGGGCGTGCTGTGAGCAGGGTCTTAGCAGAGAGGAAGGGGCTGGGAGCAGCTGAGAGCCGGCGTCATCCGGGACCTTTCTGTCTGCCCGCTCCCTCCCAGCTTTGTGACGACCAACTGTGCGCTGCAGTTTTCATCCCGGGGGATCCGGCCTGGCCTCACCACGGTCCTGGCGCGGAACCTGGACAAGAACACCGTGGGCTACCTGCAGTGGCGGTGGGGCATCCAGTCCGCCATGAACACGAGCATCGTCCGGGACACCAAAACCAGCCACTTCACCGTGGCCCTGCAGGTGAGGCCGCGTCCGCCACTCCCTCAGTGTGCCCCTGGCAGCCTGCCCCATCTGGCGGTGCCCAGAGGGACCTCAGGGGGCGTGTCCCGGTCACTCCCTCTCAGGGGCTGGCATGCCGTGTTCTCAGGCTCCCAGGGTGGCTTAGCGTGTGCAGTGTCCTAAGCCAGAGGCGCCCACAGAACTGGGGAGGGGCAGCCCAGGTTGGTAGGTGACCCAGAGCAGAGTTGTGCACTCAGATGCCACTTGGGCTGGGCAGGGGAGTGAGACAGGCCGCCCCTCAGGGACAGCTCGGTGTTACCAGGTGTATCAGTTACTAATGCAGATTTTGTAATCAAAGAAAACACGGTAATTTCAAGAGAAACATCAAAAGTGCTTTATTCAAAGTAATGTCCATCGCTAGCTACACATTTCCCCATCTTTCAGGGATTTTGTGGGTACCGTCCCAATAGAACTTTTCTTGTTTTGAGGCAAACCATTCAGAGACCCAGTTTCCCACTTCTTCGTATGCTTTGAAGTGCTGCTCAGACAGTGCGTGTGCCATCTATCAGAACAAGTGGTCATCTGAGGGAGCAAGGGCTGGTGAACACGGCGGGTGGATTAATACTTCCCAGCAAGATCTTTTAACGAGTCTTAACTGGTTTTGAAGTGTGTGACGGTGTGTTATCATGAAGCAAAATTACTTTGCTGTGTCTCCTGGCACATTTTGGTCATTTTACGATTAAAGCATGGCTCAAATTGATTATTTGTTGTCATTAGCGATCAGCATTAACAGTTTCACCTGGTTTCACCTTCCTGATCCCACCAAACGCAGAGCACTGTCCTCTTTCCGAAGTGATTTGGCCTTGCAGTTGATGTTGATGGTTGACCTGGATCAGCCCGCAATTCTGTGCATTTGGGAATCTCAAAATAAACCCACTTTTCATCGCCAGTCACAATTCCATGCAAAAAAGACTTTCTTTCATACTGTTGAAGCAACATTTTACTGATGACTTTTCGGTTTTCTATTATATTTGTCTTTCTTTCAGTTGATGTGGCATCCATTTTCCTTTCTTTAAAATCTTTCCCATTGCTTGCAAATGATCGGAATTGTTTGCTGAGCAACGTTTAATCTTCAAGTTGTTTTTGAGTTTGACACGCATCTTCACCCAATAATGCTTGTAATTTTTGGTCTTCAAACTTTTCAGTTGATCTTTTTCGGTTCTTTGCCTTTCACATCAAAATCATCACTTTTAAAGCGTTTAAACCAGTATTCACAAGTATCTTGAGATGGAGAATGTTCACCATAAGCTTCCCAAAGTATATAACTTTCAGCAGCACTTTTCTTCAAAATAAAGTAATGAATTAAACTTCTCACAAATGCTCTTATTTTGGCACGAAATTTGATATTTTTTAAGTGTAAAAATATATGATGTTAACACCTTCAGAAAATTTGACATACAAAGTTTTGAATCTTGTCAATACAAAATAGCATACATATCAAATCACATATATATATATCAACATATGTGTAACTCTATTTAAAAAATCCGCATTATTACCCGGTACAGCTGGTAGACTTCCTTCTCAGGAGAAGTAGGAAGCTGGGTTTTATGTGAAATCTTCTTGTGTAAATATTGGCTACGGGTAAGTTTCCCCACACCTTGCGAGCTGCCAGGTGGTGGCCCTGCCGAGAGGCCGGCCTGCGGGGTGTGCCCAGTGGCTAGTCAAGGGCAGTGCCCTTTTGGCCACAGGGTCCCGACCACCGGCCATGTCTCTCTCCCTGTCTTCTCAGCTCGGAATCCCTCACTCCTTCGCCCTGATCAGCTATCAGCACAAATTCCAGGATGATGATCAGACTCGCGTGAAAGGGTCCCTGAAGTGAGTGCTGGCCCCTGCCCCGGAGCCTGCCCACGGGGTTTGCAGGTGGAGCTGGTTGGCGGAAAAGCCGCTCTGTCTACCTGTCATGTGTGACATTCTCAAGCGCGCCCTGCCGAGAGACAGTGGGGTTCATGCCTGTGGGGGCACAGGGCTTGAAAGGGGAGTTGAACGGCCAACTTGGATGGTCAGTGTCCCGGCTTTGTTCCGTCCGCTCCCTGTGGTGGTGGCAGGGCGGGTGGGGGCTGGGTGGGACCCACCCTGTTGTGATGACAGTGCCGGGGCCCGGCGCTGAGGCCCTGTCCCGTCTGCCCCCAGGGCCGGCTTCTTCGGGACGGTGGTGGAGTACGGGGCCGAGAGGAAGATCTCCAGGCACAGCGTGCTGGGGGCCGCAGTCAGCATCGGCGTCCCGCAGGGCGTGTCTCTCAAAGTCAAGTAAGTGGGCCCAGATACTCGTGACCGCCAGTTACCTGGCTCCCGTGCTCCCTGGGCTTGGCCGACGTGAGACGGATTTCACTGAGTGATGCTCTCAAAGGAGCAGCTGCCTCTTCCATCCTCAGTGTGTAAGCAGATGCCGGGGAGCCCATGAAGCGCCCACAGTGAGTGAGGTCAGCTTCCACGGGTCTGTGTCTCACTGCCCTGCCTCCCCGGCACCTGTACACCCAGCCGGGTGCCAGCCCCTTGCCCCTCACCGACACCACAGACGGCCCCAGCGGCCTCGGCAGCACTGGCAGCGGCACTTGTCCCTCTGCACTGGTCCTCCTGCCTCTCTGCCTCTGCTTCGCCTGGCCGGTGGCTTCTGATGGCCCCGCCTGAGAACTGGCTCCGCCGCCTCCTGTGTGAGTGACGGGAGCGCTGGCCGGCCTGCACGTAGTCACGGTAGCTGCGCTGTGAGGCAGTGGAGGCCACCCGTCTGCTTCAGCCCGCACCGCCTCCGGGGGCAGACCTAGCGTCCCTCAGGCCCTGTGACCTGCCATCCGGTCAATGGGGACTTTACTGGTCAGAGAACCAGGTTTTGGCTTTGCTGATTTTCTTTACTGTTTTCTGTTTCACAGATTTCTGATTTTATTTTCTTTTTTCTAACTTATTTTTGTTTAATTGGCTCTTCTTTTTCCAGCTTTTTAAGGTCAAGCCTTAGATTATTAATTTTAGACTTCTCTTTTGTTGTTGTTAATCCTCACATATTTTCATTGTTTTTTGTTTTTTTAGAGACTGGGAGAGGGAGGGAGACACTGATGTGAGGAGGTGTCCATACTGATGGGACCTGCATCAGTCGTGCTGCTTTTGATTGCTTGCAGCATCACGGTGTGTAGCTGTCCACAGTCTGTCCATCGGTTTAAAGATGTTTCCATTGGGCCCTGCCGGGTGGCTCAGTAGTTGAGCATGGGCCTAGGAACCAGGAGGTCACGGTTCGATTTCTGTCAAGAGCACAGGCCCAGATTGCGGGCTCGATGCCCAGTGGGGGCATGCAGGAGGCAGCCCATCAATAATTCTCTTCCATGAATGTCTCTATCTCCCTTCCTCTCTGAAATCAATACAAATATATATTTTTTAAAAAGATGTTTCCATTGCTTACAGTGTTTGATGGCTACAAACAAAGTCTATCGGACGTAGGTTTGTGTGAACAGTTTTGATTTCTCTGGGGTGAGCAGGAGGAGCAGCTGCTGGTAGCGGGGAGCTGGTATCAGGGATCTGTGCTCTTACTTTAGGCCACTGCCCGGCCTCCTCCGGAGCGGAGCCTTCTTCCACTCTCCCAGCAGCGGCCTGAGCGTCCCGTTTCTCCGCTGCCTCACCAGCCTTTGGATATGGTCTTAATTTTGCCTATTTGAGTGGGTGTATAGGTATCTTGTTATGGGTTTTTTTGTGGGTGTTTTTTTTTTAACATATTTTTATTGATTTTTTAGAAAGGGAGAGTGATAGCTAGGAACATCAGTGAAAAAGAGACATCAGTCAGCTGCCTCCTGCACACCCCCTACTGGGGCAAGGCTACAATCCGGGCATGTGCCCTCAATGGAATGGAACCTCGCAGTCTGCAGGCCGCCGCTCTGTTGAACCACCGCAGCCAGGGCTTCTGGTGGGACTTTGATTTGCATTTTCCTAACAGCTAATGGTGGTGAGTGAGCACCTTTCCTCAGCCCGCAGCTGAGCTGTGGAATGGGCCCGCACAGGCCAGGGTCCCTCCGCCTGGCATGCGGTGTCTGAGGCTTCCCTGGGGCCGAGACCCACAACGTCCCTGGAACCTGACTCACCTCCCATGTTTGCCTTTGTTTTCAGGCTAAACAGGGCCAGTCAGACCTACTTCTTCCCCATTCACCTGACGGACCAGCTACTCCCCAGCGCCGTGTTCTACGCCACCGTGGGGCCGCTCGTGGTCTACTTCGCCATGCACCGCCTTGTCATCAAGCCGTACCTCAGGGCCCAGAAGGAGCGGTGAGTGAACGTGCCCCCAAACAACTCTGGGCCTCAGTGTCCTGACTTTCCAATGGCGCTGACGCTAATAGAGCCCGCCCCATGTTTGTATCAGGAAACATTTAATGTGGGCAAATGCGCAGGTGGGGCGTGGCCCACAGGAAGGAGCCAGCAAACATTAGCTGTTCTGGAAGGGCCGCTCGGAGCCTGCGTCATTCATTCCTACTTTCAGGAGGGATTAAGTCGTTTACAGAATTGGGGAGACTTTGAACCCGGGATGGGGAACGTCTAGCCCGCGGGCCCTGGAAGGCCCTGGAAGACCTTTGGCCCGGCCTGCCTCGGCATGAGCGTGCGCTAAGGCAGGGAGTTCGGGTCCTGCTTTCCCAGGAGGTTGAGGCTGAAACAGGATGTGCTGGTCACAGCTTCTAGCGGGAGTGTGCCGCCCGGGTCCCTGTGCGTTGCCGAGGGGAGAGGGTGTGTCTGGTGTCCTTCCCAGAACGTTAGGGGTAGCCCCGAAGGTTGGCATCCCCTGTGACGCACCTGCTCTGCCCTCCCACGTCCCTGCGTCACTGCAGCTGGGGCTTCTCCCCGGGGACCGGCAGTGGGAGCCATCCAGGACACGGCGGAAGCTGCACGGCCTGTGACTGGCAGCTTGGCGCGAGATTGTCTCGGAATGAAAGCTCTGGGACGGCGTGCAGGAAGCTCACAGGCTGTTTGCTGGGCACGGGCCCAGCGCGGGTAACACTCGCTAACGTGCGGCGTGTTTGTGTCGCACAGGGAGCTGGAGAAGCAGAGGGAAAGCACAGCCACCGACATCCTGCAGAAGAAGCAGGAGGCAGAAGCCGCGGTAAGCGTCGGCCGCCCCATCCCTCCGCTCTGTGTCCACCCCGCCCCTCCGCTGTGTCTGCCCCGTCCCTCCGCTCCGTGTCCGCCCCGTCCCTCCGCTCTGTCCGCCCCGTCCCTCCTCTCTGTCCGCCCCGTCCCTCCGCTCTGTCCGCCCCGTCCCTCCTCTCTGTCCGCCCCGTCCCTCCGCTCTGTCCGCCCCGTCCCTCCGCTCTGTCCACCCCGTCCCTCCGCTCCGTGTCCGCCCCGTCCCTCCGCTCCGTGTCCGCCCCGTCCCTCCGCTCCGTGTCCGCTCTGTCCGCCCCGTCCCTCCGCTCCGTGTCCGCCCCGTCCCTCCGCTCTGTTCGCCCCGTCCCTCCGCTCTGTGTCCGCCCCGTCCCTCTGCTCTGTCCGCCCCGTCCCTCCGCTCTGTGTCCACCCCGTCCCTCCGCTCTGTGTGCTCTGAGCGCTGCGAGCAGCCACCTGCTCCTCTGGCCTCCGGCCACGGTCCCACCTCGGTCTCAGGCCTCAGGCTGCTTCCCCGCAGCTGCACTCACATCGGTCTTTATGTCGCCACTGGCGTGTCATTCCGGGAGCTGCAGGCTGTTCCGAGGGTGAGACTCGGTGGCCCTCGGAAGGCACAGCCACGTGTTTTCACATGTGGATGGTGCCCCCTCTCCCTTCCCCTCACGTGGCTTGTTAGACGTGACAGCAGACGTCCAGGATGAGTGGCAGCACTGCCGGTGCCTGCGGGCAGGGGAGGCTGTGTCTGGACAGAAAGGTGCCCGGCGAGGGCCCTGATGGCCGCCTGCCCCTTCTTTGCAGGTTCGGTTGATGCAGGAATCTGTCCGAAGAATAGTCGAGGCAGAAGAATCCAGAATGGGTGAGAAGGCGTGGCCTCTCCTGGGACAGGGTGTTCGAGGGGGTTCTCAAAGGAGCACCCGCTTCTGCAGGCCGGCTGCGGGTGGACAGGGACGAGGGTGTCGGCCGGGGCCACCGCTCTGACCAAACCGGTCCTCAGGCCTCATCATCGTCAACGCCTGGTACGGGAAGTTCGTCAATGACAAGAGCAAGAAGAGCGAGAAGGCGAAGGTGATCGATGTGACGGTGCCCCTGCAGTGCCTGGTGAAGGACTCGAAGCTCATCCTCACAGAGGCCTCCAAGGTAGACCAGGCCCAGGACTGGACAGAACGGCCTCGGGGCAGCTGGCCGCTGGGAATGGCCCTGTGGCCATTTCATCGCATCACAGTCCTGCCCAGGCTCACACCCACGTTACGTCCACATGGGAGCAGTTTCCTTCCTGTTTCACCCATTCCTCCCCTCAGCAAGCGTTTACTGACCACCTACTGTGTGCAGTCAAACAGCACAAACCCTCTGCTCCCTCTCGGGGAGCACGCCTCACCTAGCGCTGCGGGTCCCTCCTCTCCCCGGGGCATCGCCTTGGCCTCTCCCTCTCCTGAGCTCCCAGGGCCCTTCCCTGGCTCCTGTCACGTGTTTCCTGAGCCGCAGAGGCCAGCTGCCTCGTTCTGCTACCTTGTGCTCTCCGCATGAGCTTTCTCAGAATCTGAAAAACAAAACACAGTACACATCCTGCCTTTGTGGAGCTCGCCTTGGGCCGGAGGCATATGAGGTCACGCTGGAGCCTGGGGTGTGGACAACGAAACTGGGTTAAAGTGCAGATTCGCACCTTGGCCTGTGTAGCTCAGTGGTTAGGGCACCAGAGGTTCCAGGGTTTGATTCTTGGTCAAGAGCACAGACCTGGGTTGCAGGTTCAATAATTGGTCCTGGTCCTGGTCCTGGTCCTGGTCCTGGTCAGGGTGTGTGTGGGAGGCAACTAATCTGTGTCTCTCTTTCATTGATATTCCCTCTCTCTGCCCCTCCTCCCTCCCTCCCACCCTCTACAATCATTGGAAAGGATAGCCTCTGGGGAGGATTAACAAAATGCTTATAAAGTGCCTCGCTCAAGGCCAAGAGCATCCCCGAGGCCTTCCGGTGTGTCTGTCTGGGCGGGCTTCTGTGAAGACTGGTGTATGGGGGAGGGGGCGTGTGGAGAGGGAAGGCTAGGACTAAATAGGCGATTTTTTCAAATTCTCATTTCTTTCTCTGAGGGGGGGCTGGGAGGGGGCAATGGGGGGGGTGTAGACAGGCTGCGGGCGTGCGCATTCAGACGCCTGTCTCGGCCCCCCTCGATCCGGGTCTCTGTTCCAGGCCGGGCTGCCCGGGTTCTACGACCCGTGTGTGGGCGAGGAGAAGAGCCTGAAGGTGCTCTACCAGTTCCGGGGCGTGCTGCACCAGGTGATGGCGCTGGACGGCGAGGCGCTCCGGATACCCAAGCAGTGTGAGTGCTGCCCGTGCCCGCTGCGGGGCCCGGGAGCCCTGTGCGGACTACAGCCACAGCCCGCCCCTCCTGCAGACACGGGGTCGCCCTCGGCCTGGGACGCGCTGCCCTGGGGGCAGGGGCAGTCTGGGGCGGAGTCACAGCGAGCGCTGTCCTTGAACTGCAGTGAGGGTGGCAGGGTGGGAAGCGAACCCAGCTGCTCCTTTACGTTCCAGAACCTCCTCCGGCCTCTGGTCTGCTGGTGGCTGAGCCGAGTAGAGGCGCCTGGGAACAGCTGCCTTTGCCGCACTGAGTCTCCTTTCTCCCACAGCGCACAGGATCGACACAGACGGATAGACTGCCTGAGAAAAAGGATTAAAAGAGGCTGCAACAACTTTTCCTGGGAGCGTACACATTTGGAAGCAGGGAAACCCAGACATCAGAAGTTTATTTTATATTATTCCTCAGGAGGTGGTCCCGCATCAATTATGTGAAGGGGCGCAGACACCTGCTTATGTGGGCGCTGCAGGCAGACTGCGGCAGCCCCCCAGGACCAGAGCCTCAGCAGTGTGTCTGTCTCCCAAGGATCATGTCCCCCGGGAGGTCCGTGTGGCGGCGGCCGGAACACCCTGCCTCCCAGGACCGGCCTGCCTTTCCTCCGCCACCTGACCCGGCGAGGAAGGACAGCAGGGCTCCGGTCCAGCGAGCATCTGGGTGGCCGACCTCCGGAGAGGCCTTTTCCTGCTGGATGTGGAGGAGCGGGGCTCATAAATCTGCTTTTTATCTGAGAACCAATGGCTCCGGGAATTAATTAGTCTCTCTGTCTCCCAGAACTTCTCCCATCATTCCACTGGCCCACCCGTCAGCATCCCTGCCTTCCAGGCTCAGCCTGCCCGCCTGTGCCCTCCCCTGCAGCGCTGGGCGAAGAGGGCAGGAGGCGGAGGGGAAGGTAGAGGCCGGGCCGCCGCAGACTGCCAAGCCCGCCCAGCAGCTCCCAGGCCGCGGCTCGCCCGCTCGGCCAGATGGTGGCGCTGCCGTTCTGCGCACCCCGACTGGCCCAGCCCCCTCAGGAGACTCCTCCGCGGCTGCTCCCAGACCTCCCTCCTCCCGCCTCTTGGTGTGGGAGCCAGGAAGCTGCGAGCAGCGGGTCTGTCACCTGTCAGGCTTCACCCGGCGCTGGTACCAGTGGATTCATTAGTAACCCCTCCCTCTGGTCCCTCCAGTTTTTACAAACCAAACTGTCCAACTATGAAATACTTACCTCCGTTTTAGAGGCCTCTGAGCTGCTGCTCCGATGTGAACCGTGCAATACGCGCCGACTCTGGACCCACCCCGTTCCCTCCGACCAGGTGCTCCCCTGGGCACCGACTCTTCCTTCTGCCCGAAGGGACTGCAGGAGGCCTCCCCCCAATAAACTTCCTGAAAGCGGGGGTGTGGCGTGCGTCTGTACGTGAGTGAGCGGGGAGTGGGGGGGGGGTGCATCTGAACACTGGGAGAGAGCAGAGGGGGGTGTGCATCTGAACACGGAGTGAGCAGAGGGGTGTGTATGACACTGGGAGTGAGCAGAGGGGGCTGTGCATCTGACACGGAGTGAGCAGGAGGGTGTGTATCTGAACACGGAGAGAGCAGAGGGGGGTGTGCACCTGTACACTGGAGGGGGGAGGCACGTGCACTGTACACTGGGGGAATGAGCCACCAGAGGGAGGGGCCTCCTCCAAGGCCATCCCCCCCCTTAGCCTTCACCGCCCAGCAGCAGACCCTGCGGGTACGCTGGGACGGACCGGCCTCTCCGCGCTGGGCGGCCTGCAGGCAGAGTCCAGGCCGGAGCTCAGGCGACTCGCTTACTGCTGCTCATTCTCACTGAAAGCACCTGTTTGTCAGGTGGCTGGGCCCTGCCTGCTCTCCAGCGGGACCGGAAGTCAGTCTTCCAGCAACACCAAAGCGAGGAGAGAACTTCGAATTAGTGCTTGTTTTCATTTTTTTAAAAATATATTTCATTGATTTTTCTACAGAGAGGAAGGTAGAGGGGTAGAGAGTTAGAAACATCGATGAGAGAGAGTCACCTATCAGCTGCCTCCCGCACACCCCCCAGTGGGGATGTGCCTGCAACCAAGGTACATGCCCGACCAGAATCAAACCTGGGACCCTTGAGTCCGCAGGCCGACGTTCTATCCACTGAGCCAAACCAACCAGGGCTCTTTTTTTTTTTTTTTTTTTAATATATTTTACTGACTTTCACAGAGAGGAAGAAGGGAGAAGGATAGTTAGAAACATCGACCAGCTGCCTCTCGCACACCCCCCACTGGGGATGCGCCCGCAACCAAGCCACATGCCCTTGGGACCCTTCAGTCCGCAGGCCGATGCTCTATCCACTGAGCCACACCAGTTTCGGCTTGTTTTCGTTTTTTAACTTTAAAAATATTTTATTGCCAAAACTGGTTTGGCTCAGCAGTAGAGCATCGGTCTGCAGACTGAAAGGTCCCAGGTTGGATTCCGGTCAAGGGCATGTACATTGGTTGCGGGCACATCCCCGGTGGGGGGTGTGCAGGAGGCAGCTGGTCAATGTCTCTCTCCCATCGACGTTTCTATCCCTCTCCCGTCCTCTCTGTAAAAAAATCAATAAAATATATTTTTAAAAATATATATATATTATTGACTTAGAGGAGTAGGTAGAAAGAAACATCGATCAATGTGAGAATGAAACAGATCTGATGCCTCCCACAGCCCCCTACCAAGGTCAAACCAGCAACCTTCTGAGGCATGGGATGACGCTTACCCAACCGAGCCACACCGGCAGAACTATTTTTAATTTGTTTAAATGTATTTTTTATTGGCTTCAGAGATGCAGAGAGATAGGAACATCAATTATGAGAATCATTGATTGGCTGCCTCCTGCATTCTCCCCACTGGGAATGAAGCCCACAACTTGGGCATGTGCCCTGACTGGGGATTGAACTGTGACCTGGTTCATAGGTCAACGCTCAACCACGGAGCCCCACCAGCTGGACCCAGGACTATATTTAAATTGAGAGGAACATGAGTTTGTTGTTCCATGGATTTGTGCACTCACTGGTTGCTTCTACTATGTGTCCTGATCGGAGGTTAAACCCCCAACCTCGGTGTAGTGGGACGGTGCTCTAACCACTGAACTCCCCAGCCAGGGCCAGCGTCCCTTCCCTGCAGTGTAGGAAGACGCTTGGTCGCCTAGTTCCATCAAACCAGGCTGGGCAGAAGCATCTCAGCACAGAGGCTGCCGTCAGCCGGAGCTGGCTGCCCAGGCAATGGGGGGCCTGGCCTGCTGCCTGAGCCCTCCGTCCCCCCGTGTGTGGTGGGAGTGACCCCTGCACCAAGTCCCTCCCCACGGGTGTCTGCCACTCGGCCTGCTGGTTCTGAGCACGCTGGCCCGGCCCGAGCCGAGTGGACAGCTGGGCAGGCACTGGTGACCACGTTTCCCACGTTCACAGCCCGAGGCCGCGCTGGGCTCCTCGCCTGGCGTCCTCTGCCCCGTCCTGCCCGCAGCGGGCTGAAAGGCTCACGGCCAGGCTCGGGGAGAGCCGGGCTCGGCTCCGCTGCTCCGGCCGGGGGTCGGCCGGGGGCCTGGCCGCCCCGCCCCGGGGGCCCGCAGGCGGCGGCACAGCCTCCACATCACCAGCCGCTGGGCCTTCAGGCGCTTGCGGAGCTTTTCGTTCTCCTTCAGGGTCGCAAACAGCTGCTGCTTCAGGGCGCCCACGTCCAGCAGCGCGTAGCTGTGGTCAGAGGGCTGCGGGGGGCCGGCCGGCTGGGCAGGGGCCTCGGCTGCGCCTGGGGTGCATGGCAGGACCTGGGGACCGAGGCGGAGGTAAGCCCGGAGGCCGCGGCCGGGCGCCTGCAGACCGCCCTCCGGGGAGGCCGAAGGGCCTGGGTCTCCCCGCGGCTCTCCTGCCCCGTCTGCCCGCCTGGTGGCGCCGCTGTCACTGCGAAGGCCTGACGGCAGGGCCACCCCCAGGTGCTCCGTCTGGGCGCTGCTTTTCCTCTCTGGATTTGAAACAAATCCCCTTACTGTCGCCACCCTGCCACGTGGCACCTTGGTGCGGGCCTTACCTGCCCTGCAGGGTCTCCGGCGCCGGGTGGCGGCTGTGGCCCTTCGAGGGCAGGATCCGCCTTCCTCTGCGGCCCATGCTCCCTGGCCTGCGCTTCGGGGAGGACCTGGGAAGGCAGGGAGGGCTGCAGGCAGACCAGCCTTGTCCTCCCACCCGGCCGGCAGGTCTGTGTCCTCCCTCACCGGCTGGGGCGGTGGCCTGATGTTGGGCCCAGTCGGGGTGTAAGAGTCCTCCCCAAGAACCTCATTCTCAGGCCCATGTTTATCCAAGTATCCGGGACCTTGAAACCCAACCCACCTCCACCCCTGCCCACGGGCATCTGTTCTCCCAAGATGCTCCCAAACTGGCCAGGGGCCTGGGAAGCCAGCGGCCTAGCTTGTGTCGCCCTCGGGCTGGCCTAGGCCAGGAGCAGGGCCGCAGGTCTTGTCACTGAGTGGCCGCCTGTGGCACAAAACGCCTGCCTCACAGCGGAGCTGCCCACGGCCAGACCAGCTCCAGGCACCAAGCACAGCCCCGTGTCTCCCCACGCCCCCCACCCCCGTGGTTGACTGCAGTCCCTCCGGGACACTCAGGACCACAGGAAAGTGCCCCAACCCCTCCGTCACAGACACGCTGTGGGTGGGGGCGGTCGCTGACAGTGGGCAGTTCGCAGAGAGCTCTCAGCCAGCACCCGCCGCCCGCGGACCTCAGGAGAGGTGCTGAATGGCAACGGCGGCCTCTGGCTTCCTGATCCCAGGTGCCCAGGCCCCGGCTGGCTACTAGGAAGGGGTCCGAGTGCAGCTCCGAGGCTGCCTCTGCTGGGAAGGTCTCAGGCCTGTCCCACGCGGCCTGGAGCCCACGTGGGACCAGCATGAGTGAACCGCAAAGGGCCAGGCTCTGCCTCACACGCAGTCACCGCTTCAGCAGCCTCCTGGCGTGAGGCGGGACTCAGTTCTAAATCGGCTTTATGTTGGGGACCTCCTGAAACAGAGGTCATGGCCGTCAGGGCTACGCACGCTGCCCTCAACTCCCTGCCGCTCCCGCCTCCCTCCTTGGACGGTCACCCTCCCGGAGGCAGCGCCTCGCATGGCGCCCGGGCAGCGGCCTCGGCCTCCGATGTCCCTGGAAGCCCACCCCGTGCCACCCTCTGCCGTGGCGCGCAGGCTGGCTCCGGCGGGCGCTCACCGGCCTGGCGTCGCGGAAGGCGAACTCGGTGGGCACGGCGTTGTGCTTGAGGTTCTTGCGGTTCCCAAAGGCGCTGAAGCACTCGGGGCGGAAGTGCTCCGAGCAGATGACCGTGTGCTGCTTGGGCTGGAAGTTGCCCCGCCCGATGTTGAGCACCCATTCCTTCAGCAGCTCCGGCCGGCTGAACGGGAACCTGCGGCCAGAGGCGGCGGGAGGGGTGAGCGGGCACCTGCACAGCTGGGCCAGCCCAGTACCCTCACTGTTAAGCCACATCCCCTTTCCGGAAGCTTCCGGCACGCTGTCTACAGCATCCTTAGGAAACGTGGGCCCATGAACGTGGCCCAAGAGCCCGTCCCAAAGCTGCATGTGCCAGGTGAGCCTCCATCCGTCCCCCCGGGAGCCCGCGGGTGCGGGGCCTGCGCTGGGTGCCGGGGGGAGGGAGGGAGACATCGGGCCTCGTGCAGCCAACGTTCCAGAACAGCGCAGACAGACAGGTGTACGTAGGCTGTGGGAACAGAGAGAGGACGCGGTCCGGGGCGGCCACCTGAGAGCTGCCGTTCGAGCCCAGGTTGCTGGGAGCGGGAGCTCACCGGTGTGGGTATCAGGAGGGGAAGCAAGCGGCAGGCGTGTGCCTGGTGGTTACAGGAGCGATCAGAGCAGACGTGGCTCAGACAGCAAGAGAGGGACCGAAGGACAGGAGTCTCAGGCAGATCTGGACAGAGGGGGATGACGGAGCCCAGCCTGGCCGCTGCGGGAGGGCAGGAGACAGCTCTTTTGTAGAGGGGGGTGGGGGGCAAGAGTCTAAGCGGAATGGGTTGGAGAGTGAACCGAAGGCTACTCCACCCCCAGGCAAGCACCTGGCTGAAACACACGTCCCAGCAGCACTGCTGAGCCTGGTGGTCAAAACACTGAGGCACCCAAGGCCCCTCAGTGGGGCAAGTTAATCCTGGCTCTGCATCCAGTGGAATACTACGCAGCAATGAACTGCCACTGAGCACGACTCACAATTACGGACAAAAACTAGGGGTTCTGTGGAGACTCCCAGGTGACCTGATGGTAAATCCCTAACTGGGCGGGTCATGCTGGGTAGTCACGCCCCAAACCTACCATTTCTTTAGTAAAAGGTTGGCCTTGGCCTTGGCCTTTATTTTTATGCATCTAGTTAGCACACCGTGTTATCGATCTTATAATCTAACCCCCCCCCTTGCTTTCTCCCACCCTCACGTGATCTTTACTTTCCCTCCTGAATTTCGAATGCAGAACAGAAACTTGGAAACATATAAAACCCTCTCAGCTTCGGTCACTTCTTACATCGACATAAAGGTAACGGTGAGAAAGAACAGTAAAGCTCTGGCCAGTGTGCTCAGCGGACTGGGCGATGTCCCATGCCCCCAGAGGGCGCGTGCGGGTTGCAAGCCTCCTCGAGTTTGGCAGATGCCCGCCGGGGAGGGGGGTGCGGGCCTGCCCGGGGAGAGCCAGCTGGGCATTTGTCTTTAAGGGGCTAAAGGATGGGGCTCGAGGTCTTGAGGGCCAACAGAATAGTTATCAGCCTGATGCTGACGGCCCACACCTGTCCTTCGTGCGGCTGGCAGTGCCCAGGGGGAGCGGTGCCACCTGGGAAGCGCACACCCTTCCTCCCGAGTGTCCTCGGGGCGGGAGACGGGTGGCTGGGAGGCTGCACACTCCCGCCTGCGATCTGGCTCGGCCCCCGGGCCCCCGGCTCCCCGGCGCCCCCTCCGCTCGCCCCTGCTGACCGCCCGGAAGCCCCGCTCCCACGCGCCCGCCGCCCCGGCTCCCGCCGGCCCCCGCCCGCCCCGTGCCCCGCCGCCAGGCCTCGGGCTCCTGCGGGGCCCGGGGGGGCGAGGCGGGCCGGGCAGGCGGGACCCGCGCCCCGGCCTCACCGGTGGAAGGTGAGCTGCTTCCTGCGGCTGCTGTAGCGGTTGCAGCACTGCCGGGCCGCGCACGACTTCGGCATCTCCAGCCCCGGGCCTGGCGCCCCGAACAAAGATGGCGGCGGCGCCGGGCGGGGGCGGGGCCAGGTCTGAGGTGGGCGGGGCCGGAGGGGAGGGAGGGGCGGGGCCGCGGGAGGTGCTGGCAGGCCAGGCTCTGCTCCTGCGTGCTGGTCCCCCCGCCCCCCCACCTTGAGTTGTCTGATGGGCTTCCCCTCCGTGAAACCCCGATTCGCTGAGGACAGTTGCCCTCACTCCTTTCGGGGCCCCTCAAATTTTATTCCCACCAACAGCTCAATGCCCAGCCTGGCCAGTATTTCCAAAGACTTCAGGAGATGCTGAGATTTGGGGGCTCGAATGTCACTACAGGTGTTAGTGGGTCCCAAAGGAGTTCCATACAGCCAGAACAGGCTCAGGCCCCCCGGGTGCCAGGTGTAAAGGGGCCGTATGTGCACCCCCAGATCCCAGTCCTGCTTAGGGAACCTGAGGCTACAGCTTTCACAAAGCCGGGTAACCACTCACTGGGATTTAAAACAATTTGAAGAATTGTGAGCCCTCACCGGTGTGGCTCGGTGGATAGTGTTGGTCTGCGGACTGAAGGGTCCCAGGTTTGATTCCAGTCAGGGGCATGCAGCTTGGTTGTAGGCACATCCCCAGTGGGGACTATGCAGGAGGCAGCTGGTGGATGTTTCTCTCATCCATGTTTCTAACTCTCTATCCCTCTCCCTTCCTCTCTGTAAAAAAAACAATAAAATATATATTTTTTAAAAGAAATTGTGAGCTGCTCATGTCTATTCATACTATAATTTCTGGAGGTTGAAGGAGGTTGAAGGCTGCAAAGGAGGTTGAAGGCTGTGAGCATTTTTCATCCGCCTAAACCCAACTCAAACTTCCCAAGTCTTGCTGTCGTGGTCTGGGGAAGTGATGAAGGCAGGTGGAAGCACAATCAGAACAAACACACCGAAGCTAGACATCAACCTCAAAGTAGTAATATCTTTATTTACAAAATATACAGTTTCACAGAAACAGCTTCGCTTTTTACACAAACTTTACAATTACACAGAACCATGTAAACGATGTTAGGTGTCTGGCCCGGCCACAGCCAACGGGAGGGACCTGCTTTTGGGGTGACCTCTTTCCCTCCTCACTTCATCAGCCACCAACCAAGAGCCCTAGCTGGGCCATGCCTGATTTGCATAAAGCTGATTGCAGCTGCCAGCTCAATCCACACAGCACACACAAAACGGGGTGCCCTGACTCCTCAGACACCACCCACAGGGATGCACCTGCTAAAAGAACCAAGAGGAAATGAAGAAACAAATTGAGATGAATGTCCAAGCCTTCCAGGAGCCCCCAGGCCTTGAACCTGCTCAGTCGCCAGCGTTGGCTGTCCCACTGTAAAACCACAGGTGCTCTGAAGCGCACCTCTAAAACTTTGTGGGTTATTTTTAAAGAAACAAGAGAAACACTTTGTAACTTTGGCTATTCTCATGGTGAAGACACCGGACAGGCAATGTCCTGGGGCAGATCTTTGGCAAATTCCTCTCCCAACTTCTCCCGAGTTTGCCCTCGCCAGAGTCAGAGCCAGCTGTCTGGGGAGGGGGGCGTTTCTGACCATTTCTCTCTACTGCACAACTTCTCCTTTGGGGATCATGACAATAAACTGGGTTTCGGAAATTATGCCCACTTTTGTGTTAATAAAAGCAACAGGACTAAAAACAAAACAAAGGCAGTTGGCTTGTCAGGCACGAATGCTGCCAGGACAGAATGTGGGCTCGGATTGGCCTCCAGTTCAGTGCGTGGTGCTTGGTGAGAATGTGGAGGGGAGACGGGTCCATCCTGCTGTAAACAAATATGACCAACCTGGGCATTCTTCCCTTTTCACGCTTTTACAAGAAACAATGTTTATTAACACACACCCATCGATTTACAAAAAAACAAACAAAAAATAAAAACACCAATTTTCAAGAACCAGTATTTGAGCTGCTGAGCACACTGTCCATCTGGGACAGCGCTGAAGCCGCCCCCCGTGAGGCCCTAGGACCACCGGTGTCCCAGGGTCCAGAGTCCGGGGCCCACAGGGGGGTCCCCAAGTCCTAGGACCTCTGCCCCGCTCACTGGTGTACACGTGGAGGCCAATGTTAACATATCTCACTCACCAGCTCAAACCAAAAAGGCTTCAGTCCTCCTTGGCCTGAGGGACACTAAGAACCACCCGTGGGAGAGGCCTCCTCCGTTTTCCTCACCCACTCCCCTCCCCGGGGACTGCCTAACCTTGACGGTGCTACTGGAACAATGTGAGGGGAGGGAAACGAAGGAACCAAAGTGCCCCTCCCTCCAAAACACCTTGCCTGGGCGCCCACAGGCCCCCGTACACCCATGGAGAGGGAGGGCACCCGGGCAAAACTCTGCCAACACTTTTGGCTGTATCGTGCAAAAAGACAGTTTTTACATCGTGCAAAACGGGAAACGGTTATGGACACGGGCCGCTCCAGTCTCCCAACCAGCCCTCTTCCTACAGACGCGGCCACACCAGACCCCTTTGAACAAACAGAAGGAAAACGAGGGACCACGGACTCGCCCCCGCCCCTGGCTCCTCTCAGTGAGGCCGAGGAGTCCAGCAGGCAGCCCGGGACAGCGGGCCACGGCGGGAGGGGCAGCGGGTGGCTGCTGTACAGACACTTACGGTAAAGTTTGCCCGTCTGGCTGTTCGTTACCGGGCCGGGAACCGATCGTCCCCGGCGCAGCGGAGCAGGAGTAACAGCGCTTGTTCCGGTCGGCGGGTGATTCTGAGGGTTCCTGGGGGCACGGACCCTCGTGGGGGGCTGGCCCACCCGCAGCAGAGCAGCTCCGCCAGCGGCTTTGGCCTCAGGACCGGCTCAGCCGCCGGCTATGTACAGTCTACACGGCGGACGCCTGTCCTGCGTAGGCACCTGAATGGCAGGGGTCTGGCTGCATCAGAGCGGGGAGTTCTGTGCTCGACTAAGAAAGGGGCCCAAGAGCCCACCGTCCCGTCCCCCCGGCTCCTCGCGGTCCCCGGCGCCAGCAGTCAGTCCAGGAAGAGCTTCCGGGAGCCCATGCGGGAGCGGCTGGAGCGGCGGATGTCGAACTTGGAGTCCCGGCACTTTTGGCAGACGAACACTTCCGGCACGTTGGATTTCCGGATCTTGGCACAGGACAGGTGGATCCAAGTGTGGCACTCGTTGCACTCGATCATCGGGCGGCCGGCAAACGGCTTCATGCAGAAGCAGGTGACGAGGTCCCACGAGTCGTCGTCTGAGAGAGGGGGGCACGTAAGAGGGAGGAAGACATCAGGAGCCGCCCTCCGGTGGGACGGCAGAGCCAGAGCCCAACTGCCCCTCCCGGTGCCGCCTCCCCCCGAGCGTGCGGTCGGGGCACCGAAAGGGCGCCCAGCGCTGTGGTCCGGGAGCTCGGTGCGTGGGCACAGGAGCCGCACTATTTGCGTACATTGAGGTCGGGCCTCCGCTGCCTCTAGCGGCGATCACCCCCTCCCTGCGCCTGTGCCCACCTGCTTGCCCTTTCTCCCTGGAGGCGGGGGCACTGGGCAGGGACCGCCCCGGACTCCGGCTCCCTCCCGCCGCCCGCTCACCTGAGTCCACCATGATGTCCTCGTCGTTGCCGGTGCTGTCCTCGTCGCGGAACACCACCTGCTTCCCCTGCCGGACGACAGTCCGCTTGCCCTCAGTCTTTATCTCGGTGACCTGGTCCGGCGACACGGTGGCGCAGGAGCCGCTGGACGGGGTGTCGGAGTCCCAGCCCGAGCAGGGGTCGGCGGGCGCCGCGGGCATGCCCTGCAGCGGGGGGCTCGTGGGGGTCTCCACATACGGGTCGGCGGGCTCCAGCTTCAGCAAGCTGCCCACGTAGCCCTCCTTCCCGGGCGCCTCGCCGTCCCGGCGCCGCCTCTTCTTCTTCTTCTTCAGCTTGTCCGTCTTCTTCCTGTCCAGCAGGAAGTTGCTGGGCTTGGCGCGCTGCAGGAGGCTGGGCTGCAGGTGGCCGAAGCAGCGGTCCCCCGGCAGGGGCACCCCGGACGAGATGTCAGCGAAGCCGGCGTCCCAGCCATCGCTGTCAACGGTGCCCGCGGTGCTGTTTGCGGGGCTGGGGCTGCTCCTCAAAGGGAGTTCCTGAAAGGACAGGCAGACGTTCCGGTTACTTCCAAGGAGCTCTCCGAAGCCCTGCACTCACAACCCGGCTCCCGGCTCTCCTCAGCTCCGCTCTTTAAGAAAATGGCATTTGCATTTCATTGCAACCTTCCAGACCATGTGCCCCCAGGAGAGGGGACCTCCTGCCCTGCCTGGGGGAACCCTCAGGCACCTGGCTGGTGCTGGGTGGACCCCTGTGCGGGGAGGGGAGACCCGCTCTCCAGCCAGGATCCTCCCCTGCCTGGAACCTCTCCCTCCCTGGCCTCCCACAGGGTGCGTTTTTAATTAAGTGAGTTTAAATTAGTTTTGAGAATTTCCCAGTACATTTTTTAAAAACTGGAGATAGCTCAAAATATTGCAAAGATTAAAGTGGGTGATTATTGCCCCAAAGCAGTGAGTGAGCTCCACTCTGGTCCCTTCAGACCATTCAAGCATTTTATTTGCAAATAATGGCCACGTTCTGCATGGCACAGAGCAGGCAGGATCCCGAGACGGCGATGGAAGGGGTAAACCAAGCTGGGCCTGGCTCCTAGGAGCACTGGGTCCCTCTTCTCAGCCTCGGTCAGTGTGAACGAGGCTCTGAAGTCTGAGGACCATGGCAGGGCTGCTCCACAGTGCTGCCCACTTATCTGCAACGGGGGGAGGGGATCCCTGAAATCCCGTGGGATTTGGGCCGGAGTCCCCACAGATTCTGTACGTGTGCAAGCAACCAGGAGGCTGCTGCCAGACCCCAGACTCCACCATTCACTGGGCAAGGCGTTCCCTGCCTGTGCCCATGTCGGACCCCTACCTCATACTGTAAGAGCCAAAACCAGTGCCTGGCCATAGCACTCAAGAAATGCTGGCCATTAAGAGCCAGCAGACAGTAGCACAGGATAGGGAATACAGGCAGTAATATTGTAATAACTGCCTTAGGCATCGGGTGGGAACTGGAATATGACTGACTGTCTATCCACTATGCTGTACTCCTGAACTGATACGATACCACACTGAATGTAAACTGCGATTGGAAAATTAAACATAAAAAAGGAGCAAGCTGAGAGCAAATAGTTATTTTCTTTTCCTTTTCTCTTTTAATATATCTTATTTGTTTTTTTACAGAGAGGAAAGAAGAGATATAGTTAGAAATATCGATGAGAAACATCGATTCAGCTGCCTCCCGCACACTCCCTATTGGGGATGTGCCCGCAACCAAGGTACATGCCCTTGACCGGAATCGAACGTGGGACCCCCTCAGTCGACAGGTCGATGCTCTATCCACTGACCCGAACCCAGCAGGGTGCAAATAGTTATCTTCAAGCAAACTCACTCATTTCTAGACAAGCCTGCATTTTATTTCCTACCAGTTTGAGGAACCATTTCCCAGGCTGGACTAAGTTTCCAAGAAAGATTTTTGCCCAACTCTTCTCTGAAGTCCTCCCACACACCCCGGTTTTCCTGCCAGAAAGGCCCCCGTGCTGAGCATTACCTCCTTGGGATACGGGATGTAGCCGGCATAGGCCAGGACAAAGGTGCAGAATTTGTTGAAATCCTCCACGGTCCTCCTCCTCTTGTAGCCGGGAGAGTACTCCTGCGAGCAGGGACAAAGGGGTGGGTTTGAAAGCAGACACTTGGAGGTGGAATCACACAATGAGCTCTTATTGCTGCCAGCAAATCACGCTACAGGACTCATTAAGCCCCTCAGACAGCGCCAGGTGAGCTCAGGTCAGGAAGAAACTCTTTCCAGAGGCTGGAAGGGGGGGGTTGAGCCAATCCTGGGACTGGCCGCTAGGAGATACACGCCTGTCCAAAGCCATTCCTTAGCCCTCCGGCGGGTTCCGGTTATCTGCTCGCCTCCTATCAGTGCAGTAACTGCTGTTTGCTACAGGTTTTCCATTTTGAAAATAAGCTGCTGCCGCGGGAGCTGAAGCCTGGAGCGACTTCAAAGGCCACTGCTCACTCCGGCCGGACCCTCCGCGGCCAGGGCTGCTGGGGGGCTCCCCCGGGGTCCCCCCGGGGCAGGCACTCCCTGCGGCGCCCGCTCCGGGATAAAGCAGAACCGTCCGGCTTGAGTTCTGGCTTCGGAGCCGGCCGGTCCGCATTCACTCTCAGGATGCCCTCCCGACAATGAACTTCCCCCAGGCGCAGCGCAGCTCCAGGAGAGGGAGCCTGTTTGCTCCGGCTTGTGACCGGCGGACTCTGAGGTTTTCTTTAAGGTTTTCTCCCCGCACCGGCCCCCTCGCACGGCCCAAGGGCCCGGCGCCCCGCCAGGCTGACTGAGGGGGATGGGGCGGGCTCAGGCCCGGGACAGGGCCGGGGCAGCGCGGCACCAGCGGGTTCCCTCCAGGAATTTCCCACCCCGGTTCCAGCAGTCCTCCTCCCTCCCCGATCCCCGCCGGCCCGGCCCGGCCCGGCCCCGGGCGCAGGGCAGCAGCGGCGGGCGCCGATCGCAGGAAGCCGGAGACCCGCCGCCGCCCTCCCTCCGCGGCGGGCGGCCCGCGTCCTCCGCTCCGGGAAGAACTTTGTTCCGGCGGCGGGGATGGCGCCGGAGCCCGGGGCGCGGGGACCGGGGCCGCCCCCGCCGCCGCCGCCTCCGCCAAAGCAGATGGCGGGGCGGCCCCTCCGGCCTCCGCGGAAGCCGCCCCCCGCGCCCCCGGCCCCGGAAGGTGCGGGGCCCAGCCCGCGGGGAGGGGGCGCGGGCAGCCGGCGGGGGGGGGCCGGGGCCGGCGGGGCCCGAACACCCCAGGCGGAGCGCGGCGCCGCCCCCGCGGCCCGACCCGCACCCGGACCCGCGGCCGCGGCGGGGGAGGGGCCGCGGCGGGGGCGCCGACCGGGAGGACCGAGGCCCGAGCCCCGGAAGGAGGGGCGGGAGGCGGGGCGAGCGGCCTGCGGGCGGGGGCCCCGGAGGGGAGGCGAGCGCGGGGAGGGGGGGTCCCTGGGCCCGCAGGGTGGGAACCCCAAGACCCGGCTCCCCGGGGCCCGAGGGGGCGGGGGCCGCGCGAGCCAGGGGGCGGGGCGCGGGCCCGGGGATTGGGGGCAGCGGGGGCGCGCAAGGCCGGGCCGGGTCCGAGGGGTTCGGGGCCCCTCCGGGGGGGGGCGAGGGGCGCGGCGCCCGGCCCGAGGCCCCGGGGGCGGGAGGGGGTGAGCGAGGCTGCGGGGCGGGGCCCGGGGCGCGGACAGGTCCGAGGCCACCGCGGCCCGGGAGGGGTCGCCTCACGGCCGCGGGGGACGCCGAGCGGGCCGGGTGGGGGGCGGGGTGGGGCGCCGGGGGCGACGCCGGGAAGCTGGGGGAGGCGGCGGCGCTCGGCGGCGGGTCCGGCTCCCGGGAACGAGGGAGGGGGCGGGGGTGGTCCGGGGACCCGGGCGCAGCTCTTACCTCCGGGTGGAAGGCGGCGGCGCAGGAGTCGGAGTCCATGTTCAGGGTGGGGGGCGGCGGCCGCGGGAGTGCCGGGGCCGGAATGCGGGCTCCGGGCCGCGGGCCGCTCGGGGCCGGGGGCTCCGGCGGCGGCGGCGGCGGCGTAGGACCCGGGCGGACCGGGGAGGGGTCGCCCCGGCTAGAGGCGATGGGGGGGCTCGGCGTGTCGCGCCCCGGGCTCCGTGTTCCCGGACCCGCGGCCCCACGGCCGAGCAGAGTTCGCGATGCAGCCCCCGCGGCCGGCGCGGCAGGAGCGGCGGGAGAGTCGCAGCGGGGGGCGGCGGCGGCGGCGGCGAGCGGGAACCCGACCGGCTCCCCGACCTGACGCCCAGTTCGGCTCGTGTCTCAGGAGGGAGGGCGGGAGATCCGCGAAGCCTGTCGGGAAATGTAGTCTGAGAGGAACTGGACGCCGATAAGGAGGGGGCGGGGCGCGGGGGCGGGCGCAGGGCATGGCGGGAGTCGAAGTCCCAGGCTCCGCGGCTGAGGCGCACAAAAGCCGCCTCAAGGACTCCAAACCCCATAGAGCTCCGCGGCGCTGCGGAGGCGGCGTCTCCGGGACTGGTGACCGCCGGAGCCGGGGGCTGTGCGGGGGCTCGCGCCGGCCGGGGTGGGGGAGGGGCCGCGCGGGCGGCAGCGCCTGTGTCTCCGCGGGGGCGGGCGGGGGCGGTGGGGGCGGGGCTGGCGGCCTTGGTCTGGGAGCGCGGCGGCCGCGGCGACGCCTCCTCCTCCTCCTCCTTCTCCTCCTCCTCCTCCTCCTCCTCCTTCTCCTCCTCCTTTAGGATTAGGGGTTCGCGCTCCTTTGTGGGGCCGGGGTCCCCGCGCGAGAGTGGGGGTGGCGGCGCTGACGTCGGGCCACCCCCGGGCTTGGCTCCCCGCGCGTCGGTCCGGGGAAGCGAACTTGGCTTCGCGGCCGTGGGCTTTCTGGCCGAGTCCCCCGAGCCCCGCGGTCCGGGATCCGGGTTCCGGGGCCGCGGGACCGAGACCCTCGTGGTCCCCGGAGGACCCACCGAGAGGTGTCGGGTTCCGGCGTCCGAGCCCCTCCGGGGGGACCGATGTTGGGGAAGATGCCTGCTTTCCGCCCCCTCCCCCAGCCCGGGCCGTCCTCGCTCGGAGTGCCTCCCCGAGCTCGCTCCTCCCGGGATCGCAGTTGAGGCCGAAATGGAGGGAGATCTCCGGGGTTGCCTTTGCCTCTGGGTCTGGATACTGGACAGGCGTTTGCCGTGTGAGTTTTACAACTTCGAGGCTGGAGGCTGGGCGCCTGTGAACACCTCGTTGAAAATGAACTCCTCTGATCAAATTACCAGGAGGAGGCCTGGCGTTCTTTCCCAGTTTTTGAAAGAAACATCTGTATGCCAGGGGCTCGGTAGCATCTTCTGAAGCTTGGATGTTCGAGAGGAGTGACGTTAGCATTTTAAATTTAAATCAGAAAACTGGCTTTTCGATGCGCTAAGTCAGAGGGATGGTTGGAAGAGCCCCCGAGAGATAAGGTTGTTTCCGAGGAGGGAGCGCAGGCCAGCTGGTTGGCCACTGCCAGGCAGGTGGTTGGGAGAGTGCTGATGGAGACGTGCAGTGGTTAGGGCCTGGCTTTATTTTAGAAATACTTTTCTTGAGTCTCAGTTTCCTAGCCATAGGGATTTCTGGGTAGCGCTGGCCTCAGGCGGTGGTAGTTTACTCTTGTTATTTGTTAACGTTATTTCAGCAATATCTCGGCAGAGTGGAGGGCTCCCCACAGGTGATAAGGGCCAGGCACCTGGCGCTCCACAAAGCTAGCGAGGTAACAATAGGCATTGGGCTTGGTCTGTGGAAACAACATGGAAAACTTTTTCCTTTTTTACTTTACAAAAAAGGGCTTTCATTATTTGTAGCATAGGCACCGTTAGTTAAAGTTAACGAATTGTTATTTAAGGGATTTCACATGTTCTGAGCCCTTCCACTGCCTTAGTTCCTCCTGAGTTTTGAGTCTTAATCACCAGGGTCAGGCTCACCAGGAGCAACTTGGTTTGCTTGAAGAAGGAAGGGCCAGGAAGGGTACTGTTTGAAAGTACAGATGCGGCCCTAGCTGGTTTGGCTCAATGGATAGAGTGTGGACCTGCGGACTCAATGGACCCAGGTTCGATTCTGGTCAAGGGTATGTACCTTGGTTGCAGGCACATCCCCAGTGGGGATACCCAGTGGGGAGTGTGCAGGAGGCAGCTGATCGATATTTCTCTCTATTCCTCTCTCTTCCTCTCTGTAAAAAATCAATAAAATATGTATTTAAAAAATAAAAGTACAGATGCCCAAGAACTATTGATAGTAGAGGTGGAATCCAAAGGGAGAAAAGGGAATTACTATTATTATTATTATTATTATTACTATTATTATGTAGAGAAGAGGAAGGGAGAGGGAGAGAGAGAAACATGGATTGGTTGCCTCTGGTACCCAGTCTGGTTGTGTGCCCTGACCAGGAATCGAACCTGCCACCCTTTGGTGCATGGTACAATGCCCCAACCAACAGCCACATCAGCCAGGGCAAAAAGGGATCATTATTCCCTATGAAACCATTTTTACGATGTACGCATTCACACCGCCTCCGTTAAGAAACGGAAATGAAGAACTTGTTCATAATAATGACTGGATGACAGACAGCCTAGCACGCAGGGACCACTCGGGCACACTGAGGAAAGAAAGCCCCAGCGGGACTGTTCACAGGACAGTGCTCACCTTGCTCACCAGGGGTCCTACAGCTGTCTCCTGGGCTCTTTGTAAAGAGTCCTCAGCACGGGGATGTGACTGATGTGACCGGGACCACCTGCTTGTCTCCCTGCCTGACACTCCAGGGCAGCGAGTGTCTTTCTTTCCCTTCCTTCCTCCCTCCCTCCCTTCCTTTTCTTCCTTCCTTCTTGTTTGAATCATTACCCATAGTAGTACATATATCTCCTTTCCCCCCCTTTTCCTCCCCCAGCTTCCTCTGCCCACCCCTCACCCCCGCACATGCCTTCCCCGCCCTCCTCCCCCGTCTTGTATCCCTTGGTTATGTTCACCTGCATGCATGACCTCTCATAACTGCCCCCACCTCCCTTGCCTTCCTGCCATAGTTTGACAGTCTGTTCCATGGTTCTTTATAACTAGTTTTCCCCATTTCTTTTCTTTGAAAAATCTTGCAGCTGTAGACTAGAAATAAACATATAACAACAACAACAACAAAAATTTGAGTCCCAATTTCAATGTCTAACAGTTCTGAGGCCCAGTTTCCATGTCAAATAGTTCCTTATGTGTAGGCAGCGATTTTCAAGCTTTTTTCATTTAATGGCGCTCACAAACTACTAAAATTCTGTGGCACACCCAAAAATATATATTTTGCCGATCTGACAAAAAATAATAGGTATGACTCTAATGCATTCACACCAGACAGCTATTATAATATTGGATATATATATATATATATATATATATATATATATATTTTAGAGAGAGGAAGGGAGAAGGAGAGAGAGATGTCAATTAGCTGCCTCCTGCACCTAATCCTCTCGCCACATACACACACACACACACACACACACACACCACACACACACATACATACATACACACACCACCCACACACACATACCAGGGATGAAACCTGCAACCTGGGCATGTGCCCAGACCAGGAATCCAACTGGCAACCCTTTGGTGTACTGGGTGACACCCCACTAACTGAGCCACAGCAGCCAGGGCTGGTGCCTTTGACAGTCTAAGAGAAAAGAGATCGCCCTCTGACTATACAGGTAATTGCATCTTTTGTTTTGCTTTTTATTTGATTTGATTGATTTTTAGAGAGATGAAGGGAAAGGGAGAGAAACATCAGTTGGTTGCTTCCTGCATGCCCCCTACCAGGGATCATGCCCGAAACAGGCCTGTGCCCTGGCCTGGACTTGAACTGGTGACCTCTCGGTGCCTGGGAAGACGCTCAGCCAACGGAGCCCCACCAGCCAGGGCAGGCACTGCACGCTTTAAAGCTCTGGCGGCACACCAGCGGGCCGTGGCACACCCGCTGGCACTGCTGCTCTCGTGAAATAGGAAACGTCACGGAGAAGGACCCTTTGTCTCTCCTTCCTTTGATTTCCCTTAGAAACGTCACCCTTTGGAGAAGGTATAGAATTAATGCTTACCGCCCTGGCTGGTGTGGCTCAGTGGATAGAGCGTCAGCCTGCGGACTGCAGGGTCCCGGCTTTGATTCCTGTCAAGGACACACACCCTGGTTTCTGGTTCCAGTGCAGGAGTCAGCCAATCGATGGCTCTCTCTCACCATTGATGTTCCTATCTCTCTCCCTTTCCCTCCCTCTCTGAAATTAAAATATACATACATATATATATATATATATATATGTTTTGTTTTTGTTTTTTTAAAGAGGAAACTGGGCTATTTCAGGTGAAGAGCACTGCTGGCGATTTTTTTTATTATTGATTTTTTTTTTACAGAGAGGAAGGGAGAGGGATAGAGAGTTAGACACATCGATGAGAGAGAAACATCCACCAGCTGCCTCCTGCACACCCCCCATTGGGGATGTGCCTGCAACCAAGGTACACGCCCTTGACCGGAATCGAACCTGGGACCTTTCAGTCCTCAGGCTGACGCTCTATCCACTAAGCCAAACCGGTTAGGGCAAAATATACATATATACTTAAAAGTATTTTTAAAAAAGAATTAATACTTACCATCCAGTCCCTAAACTCAAAAAAAAAAAAAAAAAAAAGACTATAATGCCAGCAATTGGCTCACACTCAGCGGCATAATGCATGGATAACAAAGCTGATCTCTGGCCTACAGGCCTGGGTGTCCGCAGTGTATGGCTTATTTCTCGGGGATGCTGCGTGCTCCCGGCCCCCGGGCACCTCTGGAATTCCTGGGTTCAGGCAAGAGCATGAGCCACAGTAGCCAGGCCCTCGGAGTTTATGATTTTTTTTTTTTTGCTTTAAAAAATAAATTATTCTAAGAGGTAAAAAAATAAATAAATAAATAAATAAATAAATAAATA